ATGTAAATCATATTTCAACAATTTTTCATGTTCACTTGTGAGTTCTAATTAAGTTATATCCCGACTCTTTCATATGAGTAAGTCCTATTAACATCTCCTTTAGATCGGACAACCTTACATCTCTAATGCGCTTTTGGGTCAGGGGTCAAGCTATAACATTCAACCTTGCTACCTACGTTGTCTACTCTCTCAAGCTTACACTCCAAGTTGATTCAACATATCACCCACTTGGATGTTTCGCTTATGCATATTATCATAGATTCATTGCATCTAAATCGAACCTTTTAATACCAATGTTCGAGCACATAGAGTTAATTAACGTAGCCAATCTTCGATCTGTTAACAATCTCCCTCCAGCAACATTACTGGGACTCGAACCCATGACTTCTTGAACTTGTGACTTTTTCGCTTATGCATATTATCATAGATTCGTTACATCCAAATCGAACATTTTAATATCGGTGTTCAAGTACATAGAGTTGATCCAACTTTCGATCTATCAACAATCTCCCCAGGTTACATTACTAGGACTCGAACCTATGATTTCTTGAACTCGTGATTTTTTTTACTCTGATATCATTTGTTGAAGAAATAAATCAAACTTGAAGCCCATAAAAGCACATTAGAGCTTATACATACATATTAGATATCACTTGAACTTAAAAATTTAAGCTATTAGATTCATTGATCTTTTATGTATATATAAAATATCTCATTCATATTTTTTAATGATGTAAAATTTTTTATTTATATGTGAATTATATATTAACAGTGATACCTATTAAGACAAAAAAAAATAGTAATCGTACTTACTAGTAACAAATAAAAGAGCTAATAAAACAAAGTTAAAACAAACAACTTGTCAATGATGAATCATTCATTCTTTTACTGCTTCGTGTATAAATCTCTTAGGAGAATTCAGTCATAAGAGAAAAAAAAAAAAACTTTGTATTTTTTTATGTTTATATGATCTTTCGAAAATTGATTTTTGTGTTCTTTTTAATATAAAAAATTAAGTACTTTTCAATCACAAAAAATGTCCTACTGCTTCAATTAGAAGCATACATCAGATTGTACATCTATATCACTGCTATTTTTAAAGTTCTTTTCATCCGTTTAATAAAAACTTTATGGCTATGATTATGACCCTTTACTATAATCACAATCTCTAGATCTATATCACTTTTTTAATTTTCATAAACCGAATTAATTATGTATTAGCAAAGGTATGAAAAGAAAAATTTCCGTCAATAATATAATTTGTTGGTAAAATATTAAATTTTATTTTTAACAATTCGGTCCAATATCTTAAGAAGATTAGCTTGACTTACAAATTGTGGGGTAAGGTAAGACAAATAGCAACATCTCTACCGACAAATGCCATACAATCTTTGCCTTAATGTTATAATAATTAGATTAACTTTAGATTTGTAAGAGAGGGTGCCTTACGCAGGGGAGCTACATGAATGAGCTAACCCCATGAAAAGAGCTTCCAAGCAGTCGAGTGGTTGATGGCATCAAATGAAAAAAATGCAACAAAAAGAAAATTTATTAAGAAAAGAGAAGACAAAAGAATGCCTTGTGATTATTGCAAGCAAAGCTATAAACCAATTTGTTAATTGGTTTAATATAAGATGCAATGTCTCTTTTGATCTCTCTCAATCTCTATATCCCTTGCTTTCAACGCTTTGTTTTTTTTTTCTTCCCCGGCCTTTTTCCAAAGTTTCTAATATATTAACTTTCCCTTTTTGTCTCTGCCAATTCTCAGCAAAGCCAAAATTCAGTTGCTAGTTTGTTTAATGTAAAACCTTGCTGAGAAAGTGAAAACAATGATATTAGTCAACTGTAAGAAGTGATTGGAGAGGTGGTGGGTCGTATATCTTGATCGTTGTACACTTCTAATCATACGAAAATGACCCAAAGCAAATTTATTAATCGCCCCTTGCAGTTTTTCTTCTAATGGATTTTTTTCTTTTTTTTTTTTTACAATTTTATGAAAAGTATGTTATGAACCATGTGTCTAAAAACAAGATTTTGTTTCAATCATACAATTTTTCTCTTTGGTGTTGAATTTGGTTGCAAGGCTTACATCAATGCCCTCTTGTGTTTGTTCTATATTTAACTTTCTGTTACTTTTTTCCCTTAGATTCTGCAGATTAAATAGTGTTTTTGAATTACCATATCAACTACTTCAATTAAGATAATAATAGAGAATATATAGTATGCATATCCAGCAACCAAGCTTTTTTCATAGTAATCCTTAATGAAAGTAAGTTATCTGATATATTTGTCATTCTTTGCATTTTTTTTAACTATCTGGTGAGTTTAGATGGTAAAAATTTATTTCCAATGATGACAGGGTAAACTGAAAGAGCACAAGTAGGTAGAAGAAGAAGCACCAAATCTGAAATTCACAGCAATCTGGCCTGCTTTTGGTTGTCTTTATTTGGACTTTTGCAGTTCATGCACTTTTACAGATTAAGTTTCCAAATTTAACCAATGAAGAACAAGAAAGGGAGGCTCCAACTAGACAGAAAAATGACAAACAAGGCCGCATAAGTGAAGTAGTAGTAAATATGGATTAGACCAAATTGATGATTGAACTAATTGACCAACAACTAAGATACATGAAGCTGTTAAGAATCCCCATACCATCTGACATATCCTGCAATTTCATCAGCAAATTGTTGTTTTAACATTGTAAAGACATAATTAATAGAAAGAACCTTGTGAAGCTATGGCTGTTGCTCTGAAATCTGAACTACGGAATGATGCTAGTTGAAACTTTGCAGCCATGTGACTTAAAGACACACTCCATAGAATAACTGATTTAAAAGGAAAACACCCCCACCAATTGATGTTTGTTTAATTGAGGCATCAGTTAGCCCACTTTCCAAGTGATTATAAACTTAAGAGAATGATTTTGTTTGGACCCATAGCTTTCCAACATTGCTTCTCCTTTCCACTTCTACCTCACTTTTAAAAGTGTATGACTATCTTCTAAACAACCCCCTCTCTTTCCTTCCTCTTCTCCCTTTCTTTCTTTTCTTCCTTCCAGCAAACTTTGTGACTATTTTAATTGCTGATTCCGCATGCGCAAAAAGGAATAACAACATTTTTGAAAAGGTTTTTGAGAAATCATAAAACTTCCCATTTCAGCTGAGAATTGTGATTGGTCACCAACGAGTTTCAGCATGTGGCTGTCATCCGTTTTATAACCTGCAAAACGGACCACATCTAAGGACAGCACCGCAGACAACACTCAAAACATAAATAAGTTCTAAAACCAAGTTTAAACTGCCATCCCCAACATGTGACTTTGAAATGAAAAATAGAAGCTGGTCTTCCAAATCAACATCCGCACCAGACCTATAGCAGAATTTTTGCTACTAACCCTAGAATTCTGGTTTGACTAACAACATTAAAGACAAAGCTTTGGTCTGAATCAGTGTAGGAATTTAATGAAGATCTAAGCATCTAGCAACAAACATGATTTTTAGATCAATATTCCACGATAAGAATTGAAGTGAAAATTAGTCCAGATGAATTCTTTGAGCCATTAGTAAGTATATTCCATTCTTGTGACTGATCTTCCAGCTTTAGTAACAGTTGTGTGGCTTTAATTTGACAATAAATTTACATACAAGTTAAAACTTGAATAATTTCATGGAAGATGGGACTTTGAGGAGGCTTCCAGGATTAGAAACCTAAGATTGAGACAATTGATTGACATTCAAAAGAAAGGTACAGAGAGGGTACAAAAAAATAGCTTGAAGAAGAAGAAATTTATTCAAGGAGGTTGGTGAAATGATGCATTTTATCAGGTGAAGTTGATAGCTTAGCTATTGTACTACATGCGGAATTCTAGGTTTCGTTGGTTTCACTGTAAGACTTCTCGCTGTTAGCCAAAAGGCTGAAAAGGTGCAAGGCTTTTAGTCTCAAGGGCTTACACATGATAAAATTTAGTGAGATGAGAATTTTTACTTAGGTTGTTACATTGAAATTCTATGCAGACACTCGAGCTTATGGAGCCTATGAGAAAAACAAAATCCAGTCAATAAATCCAATAAGCAAACAGGGAACAACCAGTCAGTTAAAATTTTAAACTCAATTTATGCCATGATTGACTGGTAGATTCTGTCTTATCCACAAGAACAACGTCTTATCTGGGTTCAGCCCCAACATTCAAAAACAATGAAAACAATCGGCCAATTCCCAGTTCCACTAGCAAAAGGCCATTGTTCTGAACAGAAAAAGCTGGAGTTATGCTGCAACTTGAGGTTGAGGGTGGATAAGATCATAAGACTCTGATTGCTTCCCATGAGGTTTGTACAAGGTCTTTCAAAATTCAATCCAGATTGATAATGCATTGCTAATATCTGATGAATTATGAGCTATGCATGCACATTTTAACTTTACTCAATAAGCACTGAGCTGGTTGCACTTCTGCAGCATCTTTCCGGGACGTAGAAGTAATTATTACTTTTACAGACATGATATTAACTTCTACTCTACTTTTGGTTGATAAAAAAACCCAACTTTTGTTTGCATTAACACCAGCATAATTGTCTTGCAGACATTTGTGCGCCCTCTTAGCAGTTACGAAAGCCAGTTACATACTTCCATCATTCAAAATTGGGTTCAGAATAGGTTAACAAGTTACAGGCTAATCAACTCCAATTTGCATATTCTACACCAAGATAATACCAACTTGGTTAAAACTAGAATTACAGAACATTGCATCATCTTACACAAGACACTACAGTTTCAATGAACACAGAATTTAATGAGTACAGAAACTTTGCTAGTTTTCAGACATCAAAACAAGAGTTGCAGATTTTGATGCATTGAATCAAAAAACGAAGACCTAGACCATAACAAGATCATATGCGACAAGAAGACTAAAAATCTTCGCTTTCAGAGAACTCGGAATGTAAACAAGTTGAACCTCTAATTTCATTTAGAGAACACATGAACTGCCAATAATCAACAGGATCGTTATAATCACATTGCAAAGACATTTATTAGCAAACTTAACAATAAAGATATTCCCAAATAAAAACAATACGATTGCTTCATTGAGAAACAACAAGCTATTCTCAGTTCAACAACCACTTTGAGGTCCAGTCTAAACTTAAAAAAAAAAAAAACCAATTTCTTAGTTCCTTCATATTCAACAACCAGACTACCAATGGTTCATACTTGGCAAAAGTCCTTCCTACTTCACACCGTATAAATTCTTCAGCGGTACTGCAAAAAAGAACAGAAATACCCGGATGTAAAGAAACAACTGATCTGAAAATTATATATATATATATATATATATATAAGATAACAGTAACCACCAGAAGAGTAATTGAAGAGGTCTTAGTTTTACCTTGATGAATCCGATTTCCTTGGCATTGCTACGGAAGCACTGTCTGCAACACATGAGTCCGTACTTCCTGATGATGGCGTGGGGGTTTCCGCACACACGGCTATCAAAACAATACAAAAAAATTTCTAAGGTCCTTGTAACATGAAACACCACAATATCATTTAACGAAGACAATACCAGATTTGACAAAAACCTTGGCAGAATATTTCTACATGCTACTCTCAAAAAATCCAAAAAGATCTCAATCCAAGCAAATACCATGTCATTAAGACCCTTACATACTACGAACAACATCTAAATCGTTGGATCAGGCACTCAAAAAATCAATAAAATAAAATTTTATTTCCTTCCATTAACAGGATAGCCTCTTCCAGGAAACTAAATAGAAATAATCTTCTTTTTTAAATGTATAAGCAAAAGCAATCAAATAGAGTGGAGAGAGGGAGAGAAAGTAATTACCAGGCGCGAGAGCCAGGGCCGTAGGTTTTGGGGTGGGAGTTCCAGACGTTAGAGTGACCCATGATTGATTAACTAGCTGCTCCTCGATCAAAGCTCTGAAAAGGCTAAAGGAGACGAGGAGCTAATTCAAAACCAAGATTCGGCAGTGGATTTTGGTTTAGTGGGAAAATGAGGGTATATATACAGAGTCCAAAACCCTAGTAATTGTTTTATGCTTTTTGGTTTGTTCTTTTATTGTTTATAAATATAAAATTTTAATAAAAAAATTCAAATAAATTTTTTCAATAAAAAAATTTATGAATATATTGATAAATCAGTTTTAAAATTTATATAGAAATTTTTACTTAATATTTTTAAAAATGAATTTTTATTTAATTTTAAATTGATATACAAATTTTTTTACTTATTTTTTAAATGATGCTAAATTTTTTTAAAAGGATTTTAAAAATTTTAACTTAATTTTAATTTTTGAAAATTTTTTCTATTAAAAACAAAAATAAAATATTTAATTATTAACTTTTATTACAATAAAAAATATGAAAATATTATTTTGAATTTAATATTTTATCATATATTTATGAAATATAAAAAATCGAGAGAATTACTATCCACGTGACAATTGACACTATCCTCATAGCGTCAATTAATATTTTCATTAATTTAAACAATCTCATAAACAGAATTACTAAAATAAAATAACTATATCTAATTAAAAATTCAATTAAAACTTTTGAAGTTTAGAATCCAAAATAAATCTTTACTCGGCTATAGGCATGTAGTCATAATTGCTTTATTTTTTGCTTCTCATTTTACTATCTTTGTTCCTTGAGGAAAAAAAAAAAGGAGTGAGAGTCGGAAAGTTTTGCGGGTAACTTTTTATTTTGGTTGTGTGAAGCCTGTGACCTGTCAGTTTGGTGCTTCGCTTGCGATTCTTATCTGGAAGCTCAATTGATTCAGCACCGGCGGCCTGTTCATGAGACTGCTTACATGCTGAAATTTGGTGAAGCCCCTCCTTTCTGGACAGTTGAATCGCCTCAGATAGAACATGGAAGATAAACAGACCAACGATATGCCATCAGGGAGTCGAATCTGAAGGTTGGCCTGTAAATGTACTTTGTTTATTTATTTTTAAAAGTGTTTGTATTTAATTCATGTTGATTAAGAAATTACTTTATTTATTCATGTTCATTCATTTAAATAATAAATTATTCATATTATGTTTATGTTTGTTCAATTAAATTAAATAAATTCGTTTATAAACATTAAACGAATATGTTTACAAACATATATAAATAAATAATTTATGAACAATAAATAAATTATAATTAAATAAATTTAAATAAATAAATTTTAAATAAATATTAATAAACTCAAACAAATATAAATGAATCTTAAAGTAAGATTAATGTAAATTATAAAAATATAATTTTATTAGTATTATTATAAATGAACAATAAATAAACAGTAAATAAAAAATTTTAAATAAATAGTAAATAAGTTTATTCATGTATATAAATGAATGAATAAATAATTATTTGTATTGGGTTCGTTTAATAAACAAATATATAAATAATATTTAAAATTATTTGTTAAATTTAATAAATAAATATAAACGAATAAAAATTAAATATATTTATGAATAATTTGTCAAAAGTTCTATTCATTTATAACCCTAAGTGAAGTATGATATTCAAACCCTACTGATTTGTATTTGGGGTTGTGGAATCTTTCAATGGTTTGGAACAAAGCTTGGATTGGTTTTGAATTTTCAGGCTTCTTTCTTGAGTGACACAGACAAAGGCGGGAGAAAGAGGAAGTTGGGTCTTAACTCGTAAGGCGCTGTTTGGGTACTTCTCAAATTAATTCTTTGAAAAAAAAGGATATGACACTACTTTTTAATTAAACCAAACCACCTATTTAAAATTTTAATCTTTTTACTATTTTCTCATGATTACTGCATTAAAATAGTAAATCTATAAAAAGATCCAACAATTGAGGAAAGGATTATGTGTAAAAAAATTAGGTCAAGCCGATCATTGCCCAACCCAATCCACTTCGTGTCAGGTCAACTCCACACAACCCATAATAGATTTGGACCACGGAACGCGTTGGACTTATTCCTCAAAAAATCTTAACCGTTCAAGACATGGTCCATAACATGAGTGGGTTGGACCTGCAAGAGCTGCTCTTCATTGTGGCCGATACTAGGTCATGCCAGGCGGGTCCAATCCGTCCATTTTGCCGTCCCACTTGGTATCACCTTAAAACATTTAAAATAATTACCTAGGTTCAAATAATAAAGAATTCGATTTTTTTTAAGTAAAATTTTAATTTTAAATTTTAAAAATAAAAAATTAAAATTAAAAAAAATTATTTTTTTTATAAAATTCGATTCGATTTTATTTTAAATTAATTATAATTTAAAATAATTATAGAATACAAAAAAATTTCAAAAAAAAAATCTAAAATAGTTTCCAAATAAAGAAACTTTCGTGAAGAAACTTAGATGAGATTGTTCGTATTATAAAGTAAAGATTCGTAACATTATGTCCCAAAAAAGGCCAAATAAATGAAGCAAGCAACTCAATTTTCTGTTAAAGAATACGAGATAAAGACAGCTGAAGCAACCATAAGACGGCGCAAATGAACAGTCCCTAACAAGTCTCACATCACGAACGTGAAAAGGAGCACGTGAGTTTCTTGTCCCAAGAATTTTCGGCCTTCATATGTTAATGTTTGGTTTTTCCCGGTTCACACGTATAGCGTAACAAAGAAAAATAACAGACAAAGAACCGATCACCAAACAACTGTACAAGAAAAGGGAGAAAAGCGAAATAAAAATAAAAAAAAACACAGGGTTCATAGCCAAACAGAAAACGGGCATGGACCGAGTTTGGTACGTATCTCACTCAACCTCTATTCAATTCTCAATTCGCCTTTTGGGTTTTTGATTCTTATCGAAATCTCAAATGGGTATGAATTATTTCTTATTATCAGTGCTTAAATCTTTCGAATTTGTTTGATTGCTTTCTCTGATAATTTGTCTCCGTAATTCTTTAATTTCACCAAAATTTACCCGTTTTTTATCTTTTAATAGTTTGTATTGGTTTTACTTAGTAACTATTAGCATTAATCAATTAAATAGAAATCTTCTTTCACCTATTTGAGCTAAATTTCTGATTGGATTTTGTTGTTTTTTTTCTAAGAATGTTGTAAATGTGTAATTTTGTGATTTTCTATGGATTGAATTATGATTAATTTGCAGGTGGAAATAGGGTTTCGGGATCAGGGTTTTAGGTTTTTTATCGAGGAGCTGTGATTTGCCATCTGGGTTTGATTGGAAGTTGAGATTTTGATGACATATAAAAATTTGTTTTAGCATTTGTCTTTGGATGCTGGTATTTTCTTGAGTGAAATTGAGGAAATTGGAGTGGAAGATGATGCTCAATCAAGATTATGCTCGTGACGACACCTTAGAGCTAAAGGCTCTTATTGTAAGAAAGGTTGGACATCAAAGAGCAGAGAAGTACTTTGATCAGCTAAGAAGGTTGTTTAGTTTGAAGATTAGCAAGTGTGAATTTGATAAGTCTTGCATTAAGACCATCGGGAAGGAAAATATCCGACTTCACAACCGGCTTATTAGATCCATTATCAAGAATGCCTGCATCTCTAGAGTTCCACCATTAAAAACTATTAGGAAAGTAGGAAGTAACCATCAAGTTGGAAATGGTTATCATCGTAATCGTCTTCAGTCACTTTATGGGGATGCATTTCCTCCTTCGCCTCGCAAAGGTAGGTCTCCTGTCAATTGGGATAAAAAGTTTCGGGACCGCCCTAGTCCACTAGGGCCACTTGGAAAGCCACAAAATGTTGTACACGAAGAGTCAGTTTCCAAGGCACAAGAGCAGAGTGCAACTGAATTGCTTTCACTTGGGAGCAGACCTCCTGCTGAAGTTGCATCTGTGGAAGACGGGGAAGAGGTTGAGCAGGTGGCTGGAAGCCCAGGTGTTCAGAGTAAAAGTCCAGTTACTGCTCCTCTTGGTTTCTCCATAAATTTTGGTGGATCTCGCAAATCTCTTTCTAATGCTTTCTCATGCAGTAATTACCACTTAGAGAGCTGTCAAAATAAAGGTGAGCTACCTGATACAAGATCACTAAGAAGTCGTTTGCAGAAGAAGTTGGAGATGGAGGGAATTAATATTTCTGTGGATTGTGTTAACCTACTGAATAATGGCTTGGATGCGTACGTGAAAAGATTGATTGAGGCCTGTGTAAGATTGGCTGGGTTAAGGTCTGGAATTTTACCTCGACATCTCATGCAAGAATCAGCAAAATCTTTTTATGCATCCGTGTTGGACTTTCGAGCTGCAATGGAACTGAATCCGCAGGTACTTGGAGAAGATTGGGCTATGCAGCTTGAGAAAATTAGTCTTAGCTCTTGTGAAGATTGAGGAGAACTTGGTTCTCATAAACCAGCAATATAGCAGATTAGGAAATTATCAATATGGCTTCATGTTTACAATGAGTATATGATTCAGTCTTTTTGGGTCAAATTTATACCCTTACAGCCTTGAATTTTGATCTCGTCTTCTGCAGCTCTACCAACATCGCCAGAGGATTTTTTTTTTTCGAGAAGAAACAAGGGGGGGGGGGGGTTGAGTAAAGGGAACATTGTAACAGCTGCAGAAGTTTTGAATTAAGTTGACGAACTTGCAATAGATTTTAGCACCAATGATTGCTAGAGCGAGACATTTTTATACGTGTAATGCAAATTTCTAGATACAATTGGGATCGCATTGTCCAACCTTCATGTTTTTCAACTGTCACATGTACGGAGTTATGAATGAGAAGAGGAAAATGCTTTTTGTTCAGAAGATTGCCAGATTATAGAATGTGTGGAATCAAACTTAGCGGGATTACTGTAGCTCTTTTTAACCTTCTTGTCCCCTGCCCATAATCACCAGCCAATATTTTCGCTTTAAATAATAACTAGTCATTTCAGATAAAATAAAGCTCTAATATTTTGTATATGGTACAATATAGGAGTATATCGTGCATCGATCCAAGACCATCGGTATTATAAGAATGGAGGCAGTGGGATAATTAGTAGGTTGATTCAGTGGTTCTCCTGTTTCGCATACAACAGTCCTCGACAAGTTTTGGACCTGTTTGACGGAGAGATGAAGATGTAATAAAATTATTGAAAATGAAAACTATGATGGGGGAATATAATTATCTTTGAAATTCATTGTACCTGTCCCGCCCCTAGCCCCTACTCCCTTGTCTATTCATTAATATCTGAGCTTCAGGTTCAAGATATCAATTTGATATTGATATATCATGACCAATTCTAACAAAGATATTTATCTGCAGAACATGTAAAATTTTGAGGTTTTAAAACTCCGGATCATTTTATTTTCGCAGGCTATATAGATACAGCGTAGAGAGTACCACTACCAACTACTACATAAAAATCGCAGGCATTCCCATTGATATATCATAGATATCTGCGTAAGGCATAGCATCACAGTTTTTGCAGTCATCAAATTTAAGTTCGACCAACATTGGCTTCTTCAGCAGCCAAAGTCATACGGCACAAGTCCTTTCAGCTCCGGTCCATTCAGGCGCTTGTTGTTTTCAAAGCTGAAACAAAGACAGAAAGCAAACAATTTGAATTTGGCTAGATTGATAATGACATTAAAAAGAAATATATAACTGCGCTTGGCCTATAAGTTTGTTATAGATTACAGCATTTATTCTTTAGCACTAACATATTAGCTTAAGTTTTGAACTGAATCGTTCTTTGACTTTGTGATAAAGCCCCATTCCATGGCCTGACATTCTGTTAAAACTACTGGACACCATACATAGACATTATACAAATAACCTGTGTTTCAGATGAAGTCAGATATCAAACATTTTCGCATCAACTTAATATATTCAAAGTAGTCTTAAGCTTCTACATTTACTGCTAATTGGTTTCACTCCCAAGATGCTCTTCTTCAAGCAAGGATTCCTATGAATAATGCAGAGACGTGCAACCATGTCTGACTTCTAATGTTCTTATAGTTAAAAAGACCTTGTTGCTTGTAAATATAACTGTGATGATCAACAGAGAGAACAATAAAAATGGTACCTTGGTACTGAAAACATTGCAAAAGGACCATCAACTGGAATTGTTCCACAGAGATCATTATTAGAAACATCACTGCATTAATCATATAAACATTGTATTAAAATATAAACCACTTAAAATGAAACAATCAAGAAAAAGAAATTAGATAAAACATGCAAGAAAAGGGATTTTGAATTTTCTTTTCTTTCCTCCCCTCTGAACTTACAATACTTTAAGGTTTGAGAGGCTAGTGAGCTCCCTTGGAATGGAACCTGTTAGGTTATTGTTGTTTAGACGACTGTACAATAGATTCAAGCACACAAAATTAGTTATGCGAATTGTTGAAGTAAACTTTTTGGTTGATAAATGTTAAATTGCTTACAGGAATCTCAGTGACTTCAGTTTGGCAAAAGATTTTGGTATTTCTCCTTCAAATCTGTTACCATACAAATCCATGCCAACAAGGTCCTTCAGATTCCCCAGCTCCTTTGGAATTTTCCCTCTTATGTCATTTTTGTATAGCTCCCTGCAGAGATTCAAATATTTTACCCCTAATTACTACACTATTAAATTATATCAAATGGGGAAAAGTATTCTTTCTTTCTTTTTTCTTTTTTTTTTTTTAATTTTTTACAAAAGAATAGCTTAAGTGTGGTAAAGCTAAATGATGTATAAAGACAAATATAGTAAAAAGTTAAGTCCATATTTTCCTCTAATTTTGGGGACTTAGAAACTAAACATGAATGATTGAATTCAACAGGGGATACAATAACATCTGAGGTGAAAGTGCATGTCTTCAAACCAACAATATTGGAAAACAGAATTTAAAATCTAAAGTTCCTCTGGTTTCATTAGTTTTCTGTTCAACCAAACAAAGCATAATAAAAATCAAGGAGCTATTGTTAGAAAGAGAAAGAGCAATACAAATACTGCAGATGTTGGAGTTGACCTATCTCAGGCCCCAAAGTCCCAGAGATATTAGAGTTTCCCAAGTCCCTGTAATTAAAAGAAAATGAAATTAGTACACTAAGTTATCATCAATCAAGTTTATAAATTTCAAGTTAAGAATCAAAACAACTAGAAAGAGGAAAATTATTGAGATAATGAAGACAGGGAAGACTAAAAACAGAAATTGTAGTTTCTTTTTTTTTTTTTTAAGAAAGAAAATCAAGAAATGAAGAGGGAATCTTACAAACGAATCACATGATTGTTGGAATCACAGGTGACATGAAACCAGGTGCAGGGATTGACAAGAGTTGGGTCCCAACTCTGCAACACATTGGTGGGGTCAGAAAGCCTTCTTCTCAAAGCATACAAAGCATTTCCTGAAACAAAAACCAACAAAATGGTAAATTTTAAACAACACCCAGACTTTATTATGTAGCTTTCCAATTAAACGAAAAATAGCAAAATCAAAAGAAAAGGAAAAACCCATTTTTATCCATCTAACATAATTGTTCTAAGCTATGTTAAAATCAAAATGAAAATCACCTCTTATCTTTCAAGAGGTTATCTTTTGTTAACAAGAATGGAGAGAAAGAAGGAGATACTAAACCCTAAAGTGAGTAAAAGGTTGATGGATAGCAACTAGTAAATACCTTCAGAGTTGGTTGAAAAGGCAGGGGAAAGAAGCAGAAGGAAAGAAAGAAACAAGGAAAACAAAGAAAGAGGAGCCATTGCAGAGAGACAAAGAGTGGCAAGGAAGAAGGAAGGGAGAGACAGCAGGAAGGAAGTAAAAGGGAGTCAACTCAAATTGGTGGTAGTGGAAGAGTGTCGAAAGGGTTCACACATTGGTCATGTCTTTCAGTCTTCTGTTGCGTGGGTCCCACTTGGAGGCTGTCTAAAGCCATCTCTCGCTGACTTTTTTTGTTGGGGTGAACTTTGAAGCCAGAGGACAAGGAAGCTGCCTTCCTGTCCCTGGTGTGGAATGAGAGGTATTTCTTGCGTGTTTTCTTGGTCTGTTTTAGCTGGCGAGAAAATAAATCAGAAATGAGAAACCATTTCGACTGGCACTGGGTTAATATTGTTTGTGGCTACCTTACTGTCTCAGTTGCACTCGTTTAAAAAACAATTCCTGCCCAAAGGTAATTGCAAATTGGCTTTGATGGATCCATCATTCATGAATCCGCAGCCCTGTTGGGAGGGAAGGGCAGCAAGCCTGTCTGCTCTGTTGGTAAATGCCATACTAAGTGAAAAGCTGTTACTTTCGTCTTTAAAGTTTCCTCTCCTTTGTGTTATGATTACTTGCTATAGCCGAAAGCATAAGGTTTTTAGCATGAAAGTGTTAAACGCCATGAAAGATGGAATCCATAAAATCACATAACACAGGCAGTTCCTTCAGAAAAGAAAAACGCAACAATTACTAACTGCTTGAACATATCAATTAGGTCACACAAGCATTTTGCCATTGCTCAACCAGCCTGTCCCGATTGATGAATGCTTTAATGCTCTACGCAGAAACTAATGGTTTTACATGCTTCAGTGCATAGTGCAAACAGAGTTATACAAACTTGAATACATTAATTATATCGACACCAAGTAACATGCAAGAGAGACTGCTTAAAATCCGAATGGATTCAATTAACAGCCATGACTGAACACAACATGACAATTGCAACAGTAAAATCAGCTAGTAAGTTTATAGGCTTGTGAAAGAGATATTAAGAAGCTAATAATAGGGTAACAAGTTACAAGATAGATACATGGCACTCGCTACGAGCCATCTCAATCTCTCAGTTCATATTGCGGTGTTTCATTTGTTACTTTTTAAGATGAGGAAAACAGGTGCATAAATCCGTTTTAGGATGCTTCGCCTCAGCGTGCTCCCGGCACTTCACTTCTGTTGTGGTACACATGAATGTTTGCATGCACACCTTGCACTGTACTCAGTCACCATCATCCACCAGATATGATATCAGAGGAACCAAAGGCAAGGCCAACAACGATGTGAACAACAAACAAAAGCCAAGTCACACATCTGTCAATGTACTTAATAAAATGCATCTAACTCATTTTAACAATATTAACTAAAAATATAACTGAATGAAAAATTAAAGATAAGAAAGACTATTTAAAAGATATAAATTGGATTCGCTTTCTTGCAATAAGCGATCAACAAATAGAAGAACTACAAACCAGAAACAAAAGCAAAAGGTCAGGAATATTAAAATGCAGAAATTCTGTAATCTTCACGAACTATTTGAGGAATTCTCATTACAGTGTAGATGATCTTTTAAGGAATGGTTGTTGAGCAGGTTCAAAGCTAAAACAAAGAAGATAGAATTTAGTATTCAGATTCCAACATGCTGCAAGTCTTCTTTTATCACCATATTCCACACAAACAGAACAATAAGAGAGTATCCAGAAATAAAAAAATACAAAAAAAAAAGATAAAATTTTTGCCATCAATAATCTTTTCTAGTAAGAGACACAACTTTCAGGAAGGCCAACACACTCATATAGATTCTTCTCATTAACTTTGACAATTTGTCATGGCTAATGCAAGAGAAGCTAAACTTAAGTGTTGATTTCTCACGGTTTTTCAATGGAAGAAAATTGAGCAAAATTTTACAACAATGTAGGATTGATTGGTAATAACAGCCTCAATCAAAGTTATAATTTCAAGCAGAGGAACTAGAAAATAATTTCCAGTAGCTATACAGTTTAATCTAAGAATCTCTAAAGCATGCAAACAATCAATCTCCTCACTCACAATACATCACTTGAAATAGTCCAACTACAAATCTAAAAGCCTCCTAACAAGGAAATGGATATTAACCCAGGACCTAATTTTGTCAAAAGGTGAAAAAAAGATGAGAAATTATTCGATAATGCTCACCATTGGAATATTCAAAATATAGTGAAAGAATGAATGTAATTGATTAAACATGGTGTATTAATTCAATAGCATAGGAAACTAGTGTTCAGGAAGCTATTTAATAGTTTTGGAGAGGTTCCAAACGAAGGAAATCTATTTAAGACATGAAAAATCGATCGAAGAGGCTTCCAATATAGGGCATTCGAATGCCCATGCATGGGGTTTGAATTTCATGTGTTTCACAATGAAATTTTACTTGTAAAATAATTTTACACAAAGGCGTTTGGATGTCATTTGCAGCACGTCCTGAAGCATTTGTTTCTCTATCTCGTACCCACCAAAAATCACTTATGGCTATACATCTTAATATCTCAACACCAGAAATGTACACACTTTAAACAAAGTATTAAAGAGAGCAGCGAACATAGCGAAAATATATTCAATCCAAAGTCTTAATTTTGATCTAGATATATAAAGAAACAAATCAATCACAAATCATTTGACAAAAATAACAGATCAGACAAAGATAGTGTTAAATCTAACAAATAAATGAAACCAGAGCATGCAAAGATACTACCTGGATGGTCATGGCCTTCTTGTTAGACTCAAGCTGGCTTCCTATCAAAACAAAAATAAAACAAAGCAAAACTTAAGATCAAGAACAGATCTAACTAAAAGAGAAGTTTCAAAGAAAAAAAAAAACCCAGATAGATAAGATGTGGAAAAAAAAGAAAGGAGAAACTTTTGAAATACCTTTGGCAGCAGCTTTTTGCTTCTCCATGTTCTTCTCACGCGCCATCTTGGATTTTTGCCCATTTCCTCCTCCCATGGTGGATGATAAGATGAGGTAAAAAGCGTTTGATCAGATGCTATTGAGGTTTTGAAGTAGAAGCAGATGAGTTTTAGAAGGATTCTAAGAAGGAACCGGAGAGATAATAAAATATTGCTGCAAAAAAGGCAGGGAAGGAAACGGGGGGAAGAATACAGACAAGACAATGAAGCACATGGGAATAGATGCGAATAAAGTAATTTAAGTGGGGCCAAAGGTTAGAGGTTGCGGTTGCTTTATTTTCTTTCTCTTCTCTCTCAAAAAAGTTAATAAAAGTCAAAGAGAAATTTGATTAAAAATTTTCAAATGTTTGATATTATTATAAAAAAAGTGTTTTTTAAATTAAAAAATTTTAAAATATAAGAATAATTTAATATTTTTCAAAAACAAGGCTTTTTCAAGTGTAGTGAAACAGAGCTTTGAGATAAAAACCAGTTTCAATCTCAAATATATCAAACAAACAGGCTCTTAAGTTGTAATATTTGGATTGTCTGAAATTGACAAGAAAATGTTTGCTTTATAATAATTAAATTTATTAAATTAAAATATCCAAATCAAAAGTTCTCTAATTCAATTCTTAATGTTCATTTTCAGCAGAAGAAAAGTTAGAAACACAGAGTACTAGTCAATTGACAATTGGATTTCCAGAGTAAAAAGCTCCTCCTTGTTATTATGGACAAACAAATTTTGACATATTTTTTACGTACAGAGATAGAAAAGAGTTCAAAGCAGTATGTATTACAAATTTTTGAACAAATTGACTATTGAAGAAATAAAAAATGAGATATGGCCTACACCTCCTTCGTGGCCTGCATCCTTTCCTCCTCTTCAGCTTTTTTCCAAGCAGCCTGAAATAGAAAGAACAAACAACAATTCATTAAAATATGAGAAACTACATAAAAGTTTTCATGTAATTTGTTGAGAAACTTGCCTTGTCTCGTTCAAGTCTGGAGACATGTGGCCGAATGGAGTTTCCTAAGCTTAAGCCTCCCCATGCTTCTTGCAACTCTCTCTCCCTTGCTTCTTTACGAGATACAGACAATCCAATCTGCTCTCTTGGTTGCTCGGTGGTGGCCATCTTCTCTTTCTCTAATCTTGATTTGTGTTTAACCAAAATTTGGTCCAGACTACCCTGTTCATCCGCCGGTTGCATGTTTACACCGCCCCTCTTTACCTTCACCATTTCTTCATTTGCATTGAACCTCATTTTCTCCTTCTCTAGTCTAGAAACATGCTTCACTAAAACCTTGTCCAAGCTCTCACAATCTGTGACATGGGTTCGTCCTTGTTTTTTGTGGTTCCTAGGGTTTCCATAATTGCTTTCAGATGTCAAGGCTTGCATTTTTTCCCTCTCCAACCTATGCACCGGTTTCACCAGGATTTTATCCAGGCTATTTTCGCTTTCAGTTCTATTAACTTCCTTGTTCAAGTTGATATTTTCTTTTCCAAATACTTCTCTATTAGTGCAGGGAACATTCTTCTCGGATAGGACTTCATTCTCCAAATTAGCCACCTTGCCTTTCTCAACCTGATCACTTTTTCTTCTGCTCCTTGCTTCCTCAACTTCTCTTTCCAGTCTTGAGAAATGTTTCACTAGAAACTTATCCAGACTAGGCACCCCGTTTGACATTCTTCCCCTTTTCTTGCCATTGAGCTCATATGTGTTACCACAATTCCTTTTTGCCTCTAGAATTTCCCTTTCAAGCACTGACGAGTGCTTAACCAATATACTTCCCAAGTCAGGGATGGCCTCAACAGAAGTATCTGCATGTGACATTTTATGGTCCACTCCAGAATTCTCTTTGAAAATTTTTTCTTTCTCCTGAATCTCTTCCTCAAAACTCAAAGACTGCTTCACGAGAGTATTCTCACTTTCATCCCTAGACTCGTTCCTTCTGCTTCTGGCTTCTTGTACCTCTCGTTCAAGCTTGGTCATGTGCTTAACCAAAAACTTGTCCAGACTAGGGAGTTCCGAGTCAACTTGTCGAGTTTGGTTAGTTTTTCTTACTGTTCCTGCTCCAATTGAAGATGTGCTTCGAGCAAAATTAAGAGCTGAAGCAGATGGATGATCAGCAATGGAGCATGGATTATGTAGCTTAGTGTTTTCTACTTCTGCTAAGGCAGCATTTAAACCACAGGTTGCAACTATTGTAGCAAGTGATGAAAGTTCATCCTGTTGTAAACATTTAAGCCTCTCAAGCATAATTTCCACAAGCTTTTCATGGTTAAACTTTTCAAGAGAATGCCTCCTCTTGAATTTATTCTGTCCAGTCTCCAGGGCCAACATCTTTTTGAAGTCGTCAGACTTAAAATCATTTTTTTGAGTCAATGTCTCAAGTTCTGACCCTCGCTCTGGTTGACATTCTGAAGAGAACTCCATTGCCTCTAGTTTGCTATCACCCGTATCTGGATTCTCATTGATTTTCCTTAGAAGGTCTTTGAATTCATCTTTATTAAAAGAGGGACAAAATGCAAGCCTCACGAATGCAGTCTTTACAGCTGCTGCCACTTGTTTATCCACCTCAAATGCTGTTTCAAAAGATGCTCTAATAGTATGAGTAGTAGAACCAGCTCTATTTACCGAAGATGTTTCAATCTGATAAGTACTCTGAGGGCAGTTGGGAATATCATACATTATCACTCCCAAAGCTGTTGCAGATTCAAAAGCCTCTGCCGCAGTTTTCTCAGCTTTCAACATCAGTTCTTCTGCCTCTTTGCTTCGAATCCTGCAAGATTAGAATATATAAGTTGAGTGGAAGGAAAACAAGCCACATTATTATGTCCTGAATGCATGCAAAAGCCTACCTGGCTGCTTGGAGTATTCTACACCAAGATGCTTCCACCAGCGCTGCTTTACGAGCCTCCATTGCCCTGTGTGCAGCCTCTCTTGCTGCCATTTTTTCTCTCAAAACTCTACAGTAATGAGGATTTGAATCTTCTAGGGTCTCATCGAGTGTTAAATTCATGCCATCTACTTCCTGAAATAAAGAGCATACATTAGCATTTGGTCAAACAAGAAAAAGAAAGGATGCATTCAATACAATACGTATATATAAATATTAAGGATACAACCTGCAGCATCTTTATTTTCCTTTTCAAGTAAGAATCAATCTTTTTCCGGGGGAACCAGTTCAGAGGAGAATTCTTCCGGTGTGGAGGCTTCTTAATTTGAGATGTAAATTTGTTTAGAACATTCAATGCTGAGGGGCTGGTATCTTTGGATGATTTATTCTGCACCATTCACAAGAGCAGACTTATAAAAAGAAATGAAACCAATTCAAAATTGCAGATAGATGCATCTATAGTCTAAGTCACTCTTCTCTCTCTTTTATGATTGTTATTTTTAAGAGGCATTCTTCAAGTATAAATCAATCAGGTATAGCATATTAAGGCTTAGAAACATTCCTCGTATGTTCTAGTAGAAAATTTTAATCAACAAAAAACCATATCAAAGCATCTAAAAGACACCATTAATATTGTCTTTTTCCCTTTTTTAACCTCAATAAACTCATTGTGGAGATCAATTTACGACAAACTACAGATCAATTATCAATTATAAACTCATTTCATTTCAGCATGATTCAATTTCTCAATTACCCCCAAACCCTCAGAAAAGTCATTGAGAACAAATACTCCTAAATATTAGAATCATAAATTGAAATTCAGCAACTAAAATAAGCTTTAAAAACCCATTACCAAATAGAATTGCCAACTAGGGTTTTCAGGGTTTTAATTCAGTCAGACATGCAAAACCCTATTTTTAAAGTTAACACTAAACAATAAACACCATTGTAATTCAAGACAAAGAAATAACAACACAAATCTTGAAACTGAAACAGATTTTGTTCTTTTTTTTTTCACCTTCCCAATTTTAGAAGAAGCATCCCCTTCTTTGCTCTGATGATCAACAACCGTCTTCGAGCTTTGCTTGTCTGATACAAACATGCAATCTTCTAAGCAACCAAGATTCATTTTTTTCCGGTAAATCGGAGACCAAGAAATTGCAAAGATTTTGATGAAGATTGAAAAGGATATTGAAGAAGTAAAGAGAAAGAACGGTAATTTGGATCTTCTTTTTGTATTTTGAGAAAAAAAAAAAATGGGAAGAGTGTCTTCTAATTATCTGAATTTTGTTCTTTATGTGTTAAAAATATTATGAGAGGTTTTTTTTTTTTAAAAAAAAAAAAGGGAAACTAGCCGTTACAGGACAACAGGGGTTTTGGCGTCAACGGTCATATCCGGGAGGGTTCTTATCTTATACACTCGTGTGCAGTCTATGGTTTGTGAATCTATAATAGACTGACACGTGGGGAAGATAATGGAAAGTAATCTTTGCTAAAATCATTATTTAATAAATAAAAAATATTCTTTAAAATTTATTTTTAATACAGTAACCGAGCACACTCAAATCGAATAAATTAAACTCGAATCTACCCCAACAAGTAGAGCTCGAATTTAACCCGACCCAACCCCAGAAAAGGTACAAGTAGAATACTCTTCTAAGTATACTTAAAAATAGTAAAAGAAATACATTACAATTCCTTTTGAAGCTAATACATCACAATATTTTACCTCGACTTGTAAATTTTAAAAATTATTATCTTTTAAAACAGTCATTTATATTTTCTTACAAAAGATGTCCATGGCGAGGGCGAGCCATGGGGCTGTTGCCAATAGTAAAAACAAGAGTAGATAAATGGGCGTGAATTCACGAAGAAATTATCCATTTCCAAAATAGAGGCATGTGGTGATTAATAACAACATTGATAATGTGTGAATTTTACAGCAACTTTGTTAGTCATTTTGCTCTCGGTCTCTAATCCACTTTGTAGCAACCCATTTCTCCCCTTTGATCACTGGACAGCTTCCATGAAGAGATGTCTGCAAATAACGTTGTAACAGAGAAAGAACATGAGTAATAATATTATCCATTGAAGCTACAATGTGGGATTTAGCTCTACCCTGCAACCCAAAGTTTAAACACAAGTCAGACGATAAAATGAAAAGGATACTGCCTTGGAGTGTTATAAGAGCTATACATCCAAAATTATTGTTAACACAAATCTATTTTTAGAAATCTCTTGAACATGGGACTGAGAGCAATGTAACATGCATTAAATTTGATTTGCAAGCATGCAAATTACCCGATCAATCGTGCCATTCAAAAAGAGTGAATAGAATAAAAGTCCATCGCCTCTTCGTGGCTTTATTTTTAAACCTACACATTGTTTGTAGTCATAGCCTTTAATTCTATGATCATTCTGCAATCGAAATAATAGGTTCAGTACCAAAACTCATGGTATACTTCCATAACAAAGGACAGATAAAGCAAGCTAGTATTTCCATATCTACCTCAAAAGGGAACATGGTTTCTCCACCTTCTTCTACATCAGATAAATACAGCAAGAATGATGCAACCTGCAAGAGAAGGTTCAAGGTTAACTAAGCACAATGTTTTAGTTCTTCAGCATTGACACTCGCACAATGGCTTGGTGAAAATCACAGAAAACGTGATGGAGGAAACATTACAATACATGTTATCATACTAAATGGATCCAGAAATAACTTGCCACAACTATAAAACTTCAAAGAATAACCTATAAACAAGGTGACGCTAACATAAAGGTATGTATCATCACCATATTGTGGAAGAAAGAACTAAAATGCTGTCTCTAAGAGGCAGTACTCTGACAGAAAAACCATCTTGAAATGATAGTACTTCATACTTCTTGTCATTTCCAGTAATATAAAGTAATTCAACTATGGCATCTATTTTCCAGGTGTTTACTGAAAATAATAAACAAGCAAAGACACCTGCCTCTTATGTAAAGAACTCATTTATGTTCTGATTGTTGAGTAAGAAAAAGGTTTTATCATCCATTAAAGATAAGTCTCATTTATTATAATCACATCATAGAACTCAGAACTTGTATATAAAAGCAAAAATAACAAATTTCTGCATCCAACTATGGTATGCAAACTATTGACTTAAATGCAGACAGAACATTAATCATTTAAGTTCACCAGAAATGCAAATAAAAATCTAGAAACTGCAGTTAGACAAGCATGTAATGATGAAGTTCACTTATAAGACTATACCCTTTGGCTTGACTGCGGACCATATTCAGACGGATTGAATGCATCATAATGGGAATCATACTTCTGTCCGATCTCATATCGCAAAATATTAAATGCCTGCAATATGTGTGAATTTCAACTTAGAGCAGTCCAAAAGTAACCTATAAGAAATTTATAATTTCAAATTTTCAACACAGAGAGAATACATACCATGATAATATTTCAGCCTACAAGTTTATAGACTTTGATCACATATTTTCCAACAAACCAAACTACCAGGTACATTTAAATCAATAAAACCATCAAAATCCAAAACAACATGCAGAAGAGTATTTGGCCATATCTCCGCGGGGGGGGGGGGGGGGTAATGATAAGACAAGTGTTTTCCACCCTTTCTTGGGACAAACCTTTGAACACCCTTATCTTTGATGCAGAATTGCAAGAAACTCTCTCTCTCTCTCTCTCTCTCTCTCCATGTAAACGATTCTACTTTCACTGCAACTAGTGTAACATGATTTACCAAACTACAATGTGATTAATGTGGTTGTTATAGGGTATAAGTATATAATTACAAGAAACTGATGCATGTGTAGCATACTAGAGAAAGTCTTGTGTAACATGCCAAAGATGCCCAAATACATTTAAGGAAGTAGATAAGATAGATCTTAAATTTCAAAAACAAACAAAAAGTTGGCAGATTTATAAGCTTTGGCAATTGATTTGGTGGGATGATTATCAATTTATGATCTTTTGGAAGTTAAATTGATTTTTCTTTAAAGTTCCATTCACAACACGCTGGGGTGCATTTTCATACAGTTGCCTTAAGTTCATAATTCCCTTAAATTTTCAGCCAAATAAAATGGGAAAAAGAAAATCAGTGAAATTGAAAAACGCCACCCACAGAAACATTGTCCACCATATTTGCTTAAACTTTCTACAATAATGTCCTATAAACTAACTCAACCTATAACATGAGATATAATAATAGTTTCATCAGAAATAGAAAATGTACCTCTCCATGGCTCTGTGGGATGCTTGTAGCCTTTGCAATTTTTTTCTCAATCAAGTCCAAGGTCCCAGTTTCATCGTCTGATGCACTAATAAAAGTTCCTGAACTGTTTCCAAGGAAAGTATAAATTTATTTTTACAAGCAATATCAAGAAAGCAAGCTATCAGCATTCAACAATTCAAACCATTCACAGACACATGAGGTATGGTCTTGATGCTAATTTGAATCAGTTAAGAATAATTGACTTATAATTTACCATTCAACACAAAATCAACAAGAAATTGATAACAAACAGAAATGATGACATATAAGGGCACCTTGTTCTAGTTCCTTTAGTGCTTTCTGCAGTTTCTCCCTTGCGCAAAGCCAAAGTAGATGGTTTAAGGTTCAATTTTGCCATTGCAATTACATGTTCGCATTGTTCTGTGGTTGCAAAGCTGGGAAAATAGTAAGCTCGTGGTTTCCAACTTAAAACCTGCATTCAACGAGCAGTTATAGGAAGTTAGCCTACAAAATAGATAATTGTAGAGCATTTCTTCAGCCAGCAATACCTGAAAGAAACGCATGATAAAAGATTCTAACTACTGTTTACTTAACATGTCTTTCATTGGGGTGGTTTAACATGTTCTTAGCACCTCAAACATTTAATTCTGTAAAAATTTGTACATAAAATCTTTGTTCTTTTTTATTACTGCTTTCCTTCAATATCTGACAACTCCAGTTTAAGTTTGGGTTAAATACTCCCGGATATAATTTTAACTCAATACACACTAACTTGAATATTGTTGCTCATAGATTCTAAACCAATTGCTTGCATCTGTATCCTCTCATTTTTCTCGCTTTTAGCAAAGATTATAAATGAGTGAACAACTATGACTCCATTTTTGGTCATGGCCCATATCCCACCTAATTCGAAATACTTTAACTAATAAGTTAAGTTCTATCAATTATCAAAACTTAAACCCAAGAAATGTAAGTGAAATAAATATCCCAACTAAAGCATTTAGAATCAAATCCTTAAGAAACAAAGTCTAACCCAAATTTAATAATTAGTAGTGAAAATCGTCACTCTAGATTAGCCCAAACTTTTGGCACCAATCCAACTATAACCAGCTTTATATAACAATCAAAGCCATCATTCTATATCCCATGCACTAAACCGAAAAAAAAAAAAAATACTAGAAACAAAAATTGAGAAGGACCTGAAACGGAATAGATTCAATCAAACTCTCCCCAGTTTCTCCGTTTGGCATCGGATCACGGTACTCCTTACCCTCCTCATGCACCATCTCCAGCCGTCTCAGCCTGGGTTTAATAATCGGCACATCCTATAAAAAGCCCACATTTAATTAACCGCAAAACCCAATTTATAAACACTTAAAATGAATAAAAATTTAGAAGTTACCTGAGAGAGTAAGTTGGAAACAAACAAGCCAGCAAGGAATGAGAGTGAGCACAAAAGAAGGGCAGTTGGCAACCCTAGCTTTGTCTTCGAGCTCTTCGATTTCCCTTTCATCCACGAATCTTGTTTCCCGACTTTCTTATTTTAGTATTATCCAATATTTTTGCTTTTCTTCTTCTTTTTTTTGGGTTTTTTTTCTATACTCTGCAGTTTTTTGGTCGTGCTTAAGAAGAATGGACAAATGCGTCAATGGCGGGAGTCTTTTTTCGACCTTTCATTCGGGAGATTGGTGGGACTGAAAGGAGTTTCCCGTTTACCGAAGGATTTTATTTTACTTTATATATAAAATTGTTTTTACCAAAATCTTTTTTAGTTGATTGATTTATATGAAAAGGGTTTTACTTATATTAATATATAAATTTTTTTTATTTTTAAATTAAAATTATTTCAATTCAAATAAATTTTAATTTTAATTTTAATATTCAAAAAATATAAAAATTATATTACTATAAATGAATCTATTCTTATTATTTCGAATTTTGTGTTCCTCCAAGTCGGCACTAATTTGGTAATTTTCACTAAATTTAAGACAAAATAATGTGTTATCTAATTAGATTTTGACCTTGCACGTGTTTTTGTTTATTCATATCCATTACGAATCATTATTCAATCTCGGCCAAAAAAAAATATATTAATCAATACAAAAATAGGGAAAAAATGCTAAACATAGAAAGAGCGTCTTTATGTCAATATCATATATACGCACAATCTCGTGTGAATCTAAGCACATTAGAAATTCAAACTATTAAGTGAACCATTGAAATTCATAAGTAACAAAAATATATTCCAAAATTTTCAAAGTACAATTAAATAAAAAAAAAGTTTAATGATAGGATACTATAATTTTCTCTTCTTAAATTGTTTTTAATGGCTTTTGAGTTGCTGTAGCTCATAAAATACCTATTTTTTATTTAAATTTTTTAAAAATTAAATTTGGATTATTAAATTTAAAATTTTAGTAATTTATTAATAATATTTCTTAAATTTTGATTTAATTATTAGTGTATGATCTTGTATATTACTCATTCTATCTCATTTTCTTTGTCTATATTTTCTTTTTAAGATGTTTTAATTTTTTTAATATATAAATTATTTTTATTTTATTTTTATTTTTATGATTTTTATTTTTTAATATTAAAAATCATGAAATTTTAATTTTATAAAAAATTTTAAAATTTAATATTAAATATATTAAAATAAGAAAAATTTAATTCTGTGAAAGTCAGACAAACATTTTGAAACTGATGGAGTAAATAATAAATTTTTAAACATTAAAAATTATTTTCATCACATTATGACATCATTTTCAAATCAAATCTATGGATCGAACCATTAAATTTCAATTTTTGAAAAGCAAAAATTTTCCAGTTCATTCAACAAACCTGGCTCGGAAAGAAGGAATTCATGCTCAAACTATTCGCCGCGTTCAGCAGTTTAAAGAGCTAGCTGATAAGAGGCTGTCACATCAATTTGCCACTACTTATAGAAAATGCCTAATATTCCAAAGTCCCAACGCGAGCTAAGCAACATAACAGTAACAGAGCATCAAAACTGATTAACGCATTCTTTTCTGCACTGCTTTTATGATCACTAGTAATATATCAGTATATAATATCCGCAATGATATATAAGCATATAATTCCATAGCCACAGATCGTTCAATCGAATTTATTCTTCATTTACTTTTGTCAGATACATTTTGAAGTACAGAACCGCACTTTCACACCATTATATAAAGCGACCAAACTCCTTACGTTATGCTTTAATCACAACCATTTTCGTTTCCAAGATATACATTCAACCTTGGACTCTCATTACTTCTGCATTGTATGGGAAGAGCTGCTATCGCCAAAACTACGACTTTCATGCTTAGGTAAACGTTATTATTTGCCTCTGTTTTATGTTTTATCATTAGATCACGAACTATATCTTGAAACATGGCAGTAAGAAAATTAAAGTGGTCCGGCTGATATAATTAATTTGATATTGGTCGGTTGAATTCGTGCAGGGAAGCTAAGCGACTTGAGCGTCGTTTGAGCAAAATTGCAGGGGCAGATCGGGGGATTGAGAGGTGTAGGAGAACGAGTAGCAGTGGTAACGATATAAAGGATTCATCGACCTGGGTTCCACATCCAAGGAGTGGGATATACTTCCCGAAAGGCCATGAATGGGTGATGAACGATGTTCCAGACGGGGCGGCTTCTTTCGGTCGAACTTTTTGGCTCAGGAACGTTGATGGTGTTGAGAAACCAGACCCTGATGAATTTCCAAGTCATGAGCATCACTGTTTCCATGCAAATATGTGAGCAAAACACACTAGTATCTTTGACTGAATGAAGGGACTACTAGACTTGAAAGGGAGTTAGGGAAGGCTTATGAATAAATATTTTGGCCTTGGCTGAAATCATCAGTGGTGTGATGTGTAAGAAAATCTTATTGAAAAATAATTTAACTTTAAATACCATTACTAATATTTCTTTTTTTATGGACAAACTGATCGATGAACAATCAAGTATAGTTGGATAAATTTAACTTAAAGTTGGATTAATCTATAATAAAAGTTGAAAAATTCGCACATATAAAAAACCTTAAACTTAAATAAAAAAAAAATCTTCTTTTTTATTTAAAAGTGTATTTATCACCCCAAGATTTAAAATAAAATAATGGGTATCATCTTAAATATATTTTTAAATTAATATTAGTTCATAACATATTGATTAAATTTTCTAAAGTTACAAATTTAAAATGATTTGAAACCATGATATCTTAAAATTAAATAAATAAAGATTGAAGATTAAAGATATATTAAAAATTAAAAAAAGTTATTTAAACAAAAAAATATAATCATATTCAAATATTAAATACTTATAAAATAAAAAATCAGTTAAATACATCAAACACACGGACTAATAAACCAATAAATAATATAATTGAATAGATCAAACATAAAGTTGATCAAATGATTCAAATCTTAGTTGAAACGTATTAATATAAATATTTAAATGAGAAAAAATATTTTCTTTAATATTTTTCGTTTATCATTAATTCTAATAAAACAAAAAAAAATCAATTAGAATGCCTTCGTACGGAAAAGTCCAAAAAGAATTTATTCTAACATAGTCAACAGTCAACACTAAAATATCGTGAAGATCTTATGAAAAAGGAAAAAAAATCCATCGGGATATTACCAGCTGCGCTGAAAACCGTCAAATCTTTGAAACCGCCACTCACGGGAACGTCACGGTCGCACAAATCCAAATTCGTATGAAAGGCATTTATTAATCCAACGGTCAATACAAAATGGTCCTTTTTCATTCAACACGTGGCTACATCTAAAGCTCATACCCCAACCAACACAAAAATTATCTTTCATTAAAAAAAGCCAAAAACAATTCATAAGAAAAAAAGATAAAAGGCCAAATTTAGCGTTACAAGTGAGTTTTCTTTTTTTTTTTCTTTTTAATTTTTCCTTCTGTTTATCTGAAGCTAAGGGCCTGAGGTTATCAGTTTCTGTTCGCACCGATTCTCTCTCCTGCGTTTCCTCGAAGGTTTCCGGCCACTTATCTTCTTTTTCTTTTCTTAATCCAAAATTATAATTGGAAAATTATATTTATTTTTTAATTAATTGGTAAAGCGTTTGAGGTTTTAGGTGAATGACGGGTGCTTCGGAGTTATTCTACACTCGAAGGTCGAGAGTGAGTCGACCCGATCCGGATCCAGGTATTGGGTCTTCAAACGACCGGAATTACAATCGACGCAATCATCTCAGTTACCACAATCACAGGCACGATTTGGATGGCTTTGATAATATCCGCCGATCCCCACACGTGCGTCACTTCAGCTCACCTGCCTCCTCCCTTTCTGTACGCTCAATTTCTCCATTTTCCTTTTTTTTTTGAAAATTTTTTTTTAGTTAGTATTTATTTTTGTTGGGTTGCTGAGAAAAGAGAAATGAAAACAAAAATATGAACTTGTATATTTTTGGAAGTGAAAATAAATTGCACTTTTAATTTTAAAAGTAAAAATTAGATTTAATTAATTTACTGTGCTTCATTCTATGTCTGTTTTATTCTTCAATATTGAATTTTGCTTTGAAAATCAGTAGTCTTAGTGTCCATTTAGATGGGCAGTGAGATTAGCTCCTATGAGATTGAAAAAATCAATAGAGGTGAGATTAATTACTGTAGTAGTGATATTGGATATTATAGTAGTGAGATTAAAATCTATGGTGGGATACGTGTTTGGATTCAAAAGTAACAATAGCTGTAGTGAAAATAAAAAATGACTATTAAGGACGTTAAATTAAAACTTATATATAATAAAATTTAAATTATAATTTGATATTTATAAAATTAATAAATAATTAAAATTACTAAAATTATTTTTATTTCAAATAATAATTTTGTTATTAAATGTTTAGAAATTAATAAATTGATAATAATATAAAAATTATTTTTTAATTTATTAATAATATATTTACATAAATTGATAATAATTTAGAAGATAATAATTATATTTTACATTAAAATAATAATTATATTTATTCAAAATAAATTTGAAAAAAAATGGAAATGGCAAGAAATATTAAAAACTTTTAAATAAAAAATCAAAGTAAAAAAAAAAAAAGAAAATAATTAACTATACATTTATGCTGTCAGGAGCAAAAACAAAAGAAAAAAAAATGAAACAGGGGGCTTATTTGGAAAAATAAGAATTGGTAGTGGTGAGTTTTCTCACTGGAGCACAAAGCACCAGTTAAAATTTTGAGGTTCAGCATGGTGAGAATCCATTTGTACCGTGCTGTTCGTGTTACCCAAATGCACATTTTTGCACTGTACAGTGCGGTTGACACGAATTCATGATAAATGCAGCTGCGTTTAGCTCCAAATGCAGCCTTAAGCTAATTTAGCAGTGGAATTGCTGAAAAATAGTTATATAATGTAAAACTTTCTTGGTAATTGTTCTGAGCCCTAAGATAACTTGAAGTAAAAATTTTCAACTAACCTACACAAGAAAGGATAAAGTAATTGGATATTACCTCTTTTTACAATTTACTTTTAATCTCCGGAATTTCGTATATTTGGGGGCATTGAGCTTGTATCATTACCTTTGCTATTGAATATTTTGAGTATCTTTTGAGTAATTCTGGATTGAATTTGGCTTTTTCAGGAGCGTGCATCAATGCAGTTTGATCAAGGTACCAGCCAGTTTGTATCAAGCTATGGTTTAAATGCAGACAGTGTAAGTAGTTCAAGTGGGCAAAGATTGCATTCAAATGAGAGGCTACCTGGAGCTGTGCTGCTTGCAAGAGCAAGGCTTCTTGAGAGACTAAGAGGCGTGTCTGTTTCTGCAAACAGGTTGGTGCTTAGAGCTCTCTTCTAGTTTGAAACTTATAGCGTTTGCATTGGTTGTCCTGGGATTATTTATGTGTCAAAGCGAAAACAAGTAAATTATAGCTACTGAATCATGTTCATATTTAACTCGAATAATATAGTTCTGCATAATCTTTGAGATCAATTGGAAGCCACTATGATCCATGATGGTTAACTCACCTATGGCACTTCTTTGTTTTTGCTATGCTAATTGGATCAAACCTATGTTGCCTTGGTCTGACAGCAATTTCCTATAAATCGGTGTCAATATTTGAAGGACAGCACATCATATCTATAACTTTTTTTGTGAGGTTTGAAGATATTATAGATGAATAATGTGGAAATTTGTTAAGGTTCGCCTGAATTCAAATAATGATTGTGTTTTTGTACTTTGATTTTGTGGATCTGTTGACTGTTGCAAAATAATCAAAAGAAGCAACTATTATACTATCAATCTGTATCATAATATGTAGGAAGCTTCAGTTTCATATTTGCTGATTGTGATCCATTATTGGTAGTGGATCTAAATAATGAGTTTGCAATCTTCTGTTAGGGGCATTAGGAATCTGACTTGGTTTAGCAATAAGAAAAGAGGTACTGTATCATATGATAGATCTGTTAGGAAGATGGCTTGAGGTAATAGCCAGTTAATGGAGTGATTAATTTGATAGATGTCCATACCATTTTCTAATTTACCATGCACTATGATGAAGCAATTCAGTCAGTCGGGTGGGTTTTCACTAGTGAATTCAGCGTTCAACAATTGTTTTCGTCTTTGATACCCTAGAGTCTAGATACTTTTATGGAATTGTCTACTATAATCATCATGTTTCGATAGAATTTTTCTTCTTAAAAACATTACGCTGAATTCTGTCACTGGCATTTTATCTATTTATATTTTTGAACGGATTAAATCCATTTTTTTTATGCTTTAAAAATCTGTCATTGCATTGAGTCCCACTTCTGCTTATACATTAAAGCAGATATTGCTTTTGTTACTGGCCCACTGTTGCTGTTGGTGCTTTCTAACCAGTAGTGGTGGTTGTACTAGCATCACTCACTACCAATGCTGTCCAGCCCCACTGCTGGTGTTTCCTATGCTGTAGTAATATTTAGTGGTACTAATATCACTAACCACTATGACTATCCAGCCCACTTCTGCAGCCACTTCCCATAGTAAATTAGTATTATTTGTTTCCTAACTACCACTGACTGCTTGAGAGAAGCATGTGGACCAATTGAACCTGTTTTTTGTTTATGTTGTGTCCGGCATTCAGTAATGGACATATTTATGTTGTGTCTTGCATTAAGTAGTGGACTTCCAAGTCCGAACCGCTGTTTAAACAATTTGTACATGGTGGTTTGTTTTTTCTTGTTGCTTTTTTTTTTTTTTCATTTTTGGTTTCTTCCTTGTGTTATTCTTTGGCTTTGTTTAGGCGAAGCAGCAGAGCTCCATCTAGCCCTTACCACCAAAGGGAGTACTTATTTGACGGTGATTTCAGGCTTGCTGATGCAGGGGATTGGGGAAGTGAAATTTCCACAGGGTTGTCAGCTGGGAATTCCCCTTTTACTGACCTAACCTCTCAAACAGAAAGGTTCCAATTATTACAAGAAACTAACAAGAAGCCTCCTGGTCTTACTCAGGAGGCCCTGGACAGTTTGGCGCAGGAGGTTTTCAGCAGCCGAGAAGTGGATGTTGAAAGAAAGCTGTCAAGGGAATCAAGGGATTGCAGTATATGTCTGGAGAGCTTCAGGGACGAAGATTTGCTTACACGGCTGCCCTGTGGGCACAGATTTCACTTGGCTTGCTTAGATCCTTGGGTTAGAAGTTGTGGGGACTGCCCTTACTGTAGACGTAGTATACTATGAAAGTAGTTTCCGACACATCAATAGAATAGGACTTTTTTTTTTTCTTTCCATTTTCCCGTGTTTTTACTTGTGCTCTGCCTCTGATGGAAATTTTGTGAGTCGACCCAATTGCAGATACACTTTGTAATTTGAACTCCTTTGTATTTGTGGTATATTTGTGAATAAACCAGCAAAGAGTTTCCTGATAATATCATAATTGAAAAATGTATAGCGTCTATTATCTATACGAGGTTCTTTGACCAACATGCTCTACTTCAAAATTTCGCCTTTAATTTCCATCAATGACTGAAACAAAATTGTATTAAGAAGGTCGTAAGCTATGGTTGTAATTGGTATACACTACAAACGATTCTCAAATTTTTTTTTCCCCCAAAATCATGTTCCTTGAAATTCCCTATTCTTTTATCTAAATTGGAGGAGAAAGTTTCGAAGTCATGTCATTTCAGCTGCAAAAGCAAGGAGGTAACGTGTTTGACATAAGTTGGTATCTATATCCTTCTGTCAGGTTCACATCTTAGACACAATTAATAATCTTGAATGCCCCACTAAAATTAACATCTATCAAAACATATTACTATTATTTTAGTATTTAGTTGCCAAAAATTAATTTTTAATAACTGAAATTAAGATAAACATAAAGCATTGAAACTAAGATAAACATAAAGTATAAATCAAATCCTCATTATCCCTAATGGAAAAAGAAAAGAGTTGTACCTTCCAGAACGTGAGATGAAAATATTAAAATTTTTGTTAAATATTTGATTTAATCCTTAAATTATATATATATTTTTTATGATTCCATATTTATAAAAAAATTGATGATTTTATAATTTTATTTTCGTTAAGCATTTTGCTTTATACATTATTTTTGTTAGGAATAAAATGATGTAATAAAAAAAATTAATAATATCATCACATATGATACATTTTTATTTATTAATATTTTTCATGTGAATTTTTTAACTGATGGTTTTAATCAATGATATAAAATGTTTGATGAAAATAAAATTAAAATATTTAATTATAAATTTTTTATAAGTAACAAATAATTAAATATATTTCAATTTAAAAATCAAATTAGGTATTAACCATTTTTTGGTGTAAAATATTAATTTAAAATACTGACTCCCTTCTAAATAATATACTCTTTTCTTTGCCATCACTCATCAACAATAAGGGAAAAAGGCGAAAAATTTAAAAATTAAAAAAAAGTCAAAAGGAAAGGGAAAGAAAAAGAAAAAGTATAAAAGGGGAAAAGGAAAAGAAAAAACCAAACAAACTAGGCATTTGTTAATTGTTAACGCGTAGAGTACACAGTAATACAGCAGGAATCGGGTCTTCGTCATCTTCCCCTTCACGCGGCATCTGCCCTATCTCTTTCTCTTTACCCCAGTCTCCACTCAGTCTCTCTCTCTCTCTCTCTCTCTTAAATCTTCCATTACGTAACCAAAAACTGCTGCAACAAAAAACAAAGGCCAATCCATATAAGACTCTCGGTTACAACCTTAAAACAAACCCATTAAAGCTCTCTGTTTATAGATACCAAAACGACCCAAAGCCGAACAGGTAATAAGGAATAAGGGACCATTGATAGCTGAGAGTATCTATCGAAAAGGATGATGATTTTACGGTCGCTTTCCAGGCCTCTTGAACGTTGCCTTGGGGTGAGGGCTGGTGGGGATGGTCTCATGTGGCACGCTGACCTTAAACCCCATGCTTCCGGTGATTATTCCATCGCTGTGGTTCAAGCAAACAACAATCTTGAAGATCAAAGCCAAGTCTTTACTTCTCCTTTTGCTACCTACGTTGGTGTCTATGATGGTCATGGTGGTCCTGAAGCCTCCAGATTTGTCAACAAACATCTCTTCCCTTTTCTCCACAGTAATTCTTCTCTAATCTTTCAACATTTTTGGGCGGGGGAGTGGGTTGGATATAGAATATCATCTTATTTTCTTTTTCAGGACAAATTAAGTTTCATGGTACTTGTCGTTTTTTAGATTATTGAATATGGGTTGTCGTTGCATTTGTGTGCCCCTGCCCCTGCCCCTGCCCCTGCCTTTTGTCTTTGCTGTAATTTTTTCTTCAGCTCTGATTTCTTATTACATGTGCATAGAATGAACACATAATTATGTGTATGGTTATGGTAGGCAAACCTTAAGCTATCAATGGAATCATCAAAAAGATTTATCTATTTGTTACACACAACACAAGTGTTATTATTATTATTATGTTGTTGTTGTCTCTTTTCTCTTTTAATAGGCGAAGATAATTTTGTGGTAAATCTCTTTCTTCTTTTCGTTCTAACAATATCTCAGGATGTTTGTCAGTATATGGATATTTGGGCACAACTTACAAACGTCCATCATGAACGTTTAGTTGGTTGTTTGATAAGTGCACTTGTTTATACAATGAATGTGAACTACTTGTCTAAATTCGTATCTATATGCGTTGGGTAGTGGACGTTGGACCTCAAGATTCAAGAATCAATAACAAGTGTAATTCAACTTATGGCACCTTTCACCTCATTTTTTTTTCTTGGGTTTTGTCCCGCTTCACTGATAATTTTGCATTTGAAATCTAAAAAGATTGATGGATAGCATAGTGAATGTGCTAGCCACTCCCTCTGAACCTTAATTTTTCTGTCTTAATTGTAGAATTTGCGACAGAACAAGGTGGATTATCTGCAGATGTGATAAGGAAGGCATTCAATGCCACCGAAGAGGAGTTTTTGCATTTGGTGAAGCGATCATTGCCTCTGAGGCCTCAAATTGCTTCAGTTGGATCATGCTGTCTAGTTGGCGCAATTTCAAATGATGTGCTGTATGTGGCAAATCTTGGTGACTCAAGAGCCGTTCTTGGCAAGAGAGCTTCAGAGGATAAGAAAAACATGGTGGTAGCAGAGAGGCTGTCAACAGATCATAATGTTGGAGTTGAGGAAGTCAGGAAGGAGGTTGAGGCACTTCATCCAGATGATTCTCACATAGTGGTGTACACCCGTGGAGTTTGGAGGATTAAGGGCATAATCCAGGTAAAATTCTTTTGGCCAGTTGATTTATAATAGCTAAGGTTAAATCAGTCAGTTTGAGGAATAGGAAATGTATTAATTCTAGGAGTAGTCAGGTCAATCAATTCAATTTGCGTTTTTGCTTTAGTGGTGCTCAGCAATGAATCAGCTCTGTATCTGCCCCAAAGCAGACTCAGATTTTGAGTGGAGTTGATTATTGCTATCCTTTTTTGTCCCAATTATCATCGTCGGCAAAACCTTTTAAATATTTCTTTAAGGGCACTGGCTGTAACCTTAATCTGTTTTCTTTTACTTGGTGGAGAGGTATATTTACTCACATACATTGAGCATTGGGATTAAAAGGTTTTTCTAAAAAAGGTTTGTACTTCCAACTTTTCCAGCAATAGTTTGGTCTGACTTCTGGTACTGTCTCATGCAGCCATGTGCCAAATAGTATTTCTTCCATGCATGAGATGGACAAATTCTGACCCCTGAAGCATAATACTAACTTTATGTAACTACAGGGAGTCTTTTCTCCTTTTTTTTTGGTTATTTTTTCTCTTTTGGTGATTTCTTTCCCCTTAACTTTAGCTGGTAAGTGGAGCTTTATGCCTCAATCATTGCATGAATTTAGGGAATAAGGTACATTAGCTTTTAATCTTACACCGAATCATGATTTTAGAGAATTTAATGGATTATGCTGGTCTAAACATTTGTCATTCTTATTTCAGGTGTCAAGATCTATTGGTGATGTTTACCTGAAGAAACCTGAGTTTTATAGAGATCCAATCTTTCAGCAATTTGGAAACCCTGTCCCCCTCAAAAAACCTGTTATTACAGCAGAACCCTCTATCCTTATTAGAAAGCTCAAGTCACAGGACCTATTCCTGATATTTGCATCAGACGGCCTATGGGAGCATTTGAGTGATGAAGCTGCTGTAGACATTGTTCTCAAAAACCCCAGAGCCGTGAGTATTCATGTTTCAGTTAAATTAATCTTCATTATCAATAGACCTTAGGAAATTTGTGGAAATGCATTCTCACTTGTATCCTCGAAGCACTTCTCTATAGCATTTTGGTATTGATTTCCAATTTGCTTTAATACTTGTAGGGTATTGCTAAGAGATTGGTAAGAGCCGCACTTCAAGAAGTTGCAAAGAAAAGAGAGATGAGATATGCTGATATTAAGAAAATTGAAAAAGGAATAAGGCGCCATTTTCATGATGATATCACTGTGATTGTAATTTATCTTGATCAACACAGAGACTCTTGCAATAATAGTCGAGCTAAGCAAAATGCCTTGGGGTGCACGACGGCACCTGTTGACATCTATTCCTTCAATGCAGATGAAGCAGATGAGGATCTGCTTTAAACAATTTCTTGAATACGGTAGAATGAGTTAGCGCATAGACTTGTCCAGTAAGTTTATTTATGTATAGAAACCAAATGATTGGTGGGATTGGTTCTCAACACAGTGTTCATTGGAGAAAATATAGAGTTTGGAAGGTAAATTAAGTCACTGAAGGATATAGATGGATGCTGATGGAAGCAGGCTGCCATAGATTTGCCAAGTTAAGTTCTACCACTCTCACTCATCTCATCTGTTTATTCTTGCCTTTTACCTTTTTGAAGTGGATGTCAATCCATCCCAGAGAAATGAAGGAAACATTTTTGTATTGTTTTATTCCATATGATGCCATGTTGCTTCTATACTTCTCCAGTTTCTCCAACTTATTGATTCCTCCATAAATCCACCATGTCTGCATTTCCAAAATGCAAGTACAAAGCGAAAGTTAACTGGTTGCCATCTCCTATGAACTGTCTTCCTATATGAAAAGTGAACTGTGGTTTTGTTCTCTTCCTTTAAAAATGGAGTAACCAGTAACAATACAACCAAATTGGCTTGTTATTTGGATGTCTAAAACAAAACAGAAAGATGTTAGTAGTATGAAATTTGCGAGACATCTTCCTTAAATTGAACGACATGGCAAGTAGCAACAACCTACTTGCTAGGTGAAACGAACTAACCAAAAGATCAAGCGGCAATCAGTTGCGCCAAAAATTAGGATGTTGGTCACTTGTTATGTTTGGCAAAAAGCTTGCTTGAATGAAACTAATTGAAATATCTTTATGTATATTTAGAAATAAAAGGATTCAATACCAATTATTCCAAATTATTTTTGCAATTTTTTCATTAAAATATTGTATACAGATTAGACTAATATTCTCTTCAGTTGATCCATTTATTTATCTGTCGTAAAGTAAAAAAAAAAAGCTAAGGTTCTATTTGAAGGCTCCATTGGAATGTTCCCATCACATCATCTGGCGCGTTTTATACGTCCGGGGAAAGCTTCTAATAAGATTTCAAATGGAGCATAACAATTCCTGAAACTTTTCAACACGGTTTTCAACGTAAGATATGAATTTAAATATTTTTTTACGCAATCAAGGAGTTTTATTGTATGTAAAAACGTCATTGTGCAGTGAAATTTGTTTTTGCTAATTGGTAAGATGTTATTGTCAAAATGAAGTGGCCAAAACAATGGTCAAATTTGTGAACTCAACTAAAATAAATACAGGAAAGAAACATCAGTCATCTGAATTGAAGTTGATTCTCTTTTGCGAGTTTTGATTTTTTGAAGTCCAATACTTTGACCGATCCCTGTTTCAGGAAAATGAAAGAAAAGGAGAGAACAAACTAAGAGAAAATTCACAGTTTTATCCGAGAAAAAAAAAAAAAGAACTGTTATAGTGTGTTTTTCTCGTATAGTCAGTAACCAAAACCAGCCCTTCAGCAGTTTAACTTGCATTGCAAGAGGGCACCGCTTGACTTCTCCTGCTCTTGGAAGCAAAGTTTTGTTCAACTTTTTTTCATGGAAGCAAGCAAGTGAATACTTCGAAACTACTATTTGCTGTAGAATCCCAATAGACCTTTCAAAAACTTTGCTTTTTGCAAGACAAGGTCAAGAATGACTGCAAATCATTTGGTCGCTGAATCCGTGTGGAAAACTATAGCGTCAACTCATTCAGGTCCTGCCCCCTATTTCTTCTTCCTTTCTTTCTAATAAGTACCATTTTCCTGTTTAATTTGTATTTGGTGATCTTATCTCATGTACATGCTTGGCCAGTAATTGAGGAGCGGCTATCAATGTAAGTAATGCCCATTTTCATTAATGTTTACTACTTGGGTTTAAGAAATTAGGCAAGGATTGATAATGGGTATTGATTAGTTCCTTGCATTGCAGCTTGCATTTCTTGTTTGGTAAAAACTTTGAGAAAGCAACTAGGATAGCGTACCAAAGGGGTATCAAGAAGATCTCCGGTGAACCCACTGGTCGTTCCATCCTTCAGGTTCATTCTCTTCTTTATACCTCAATCTTCATTTATATATGCACAGTCTTATATCTAAGATATGGCATTTTTTGTCTGTAAATTTTGGATTTTTTTTTCTCAAACTGGGTTTGTTTCTCATTGTATATTGCTTTAGATTGTGGGAGAATCAAGGAGGAAAGAGGAGTATTTCTGTTTTGCTGAAAATAATTGTGCTTGTTATTCATTCTTTTATGATATAGTTAACAAATAAATTTATTCCTTTTTCTCACATTTCTCTTCTTCTTATGTCATAGCTTTTTAATAGTTTTGGTTTTTGCATTTTTATTCTTTTGCCTAGTGTAAGCATCGATTAGCTGCAAGATTTGCTGGATCATTGGGAGCTTGTATTGAAGTTAAAGTGTCTGATGAGCAGCTTAGCATTATTGCTTTCAGAACTCTAGATCTGGGTAATGAAATAATAACTCCTTTTTTGAGAAAATTAGAATCTTCTTTGAATGTTTTTTCCTGCAATTTATAGCTAGTGAAAAAAAATTTTGAAGAAATGGAATCCTTTGTAATACATGTTTTTGTTTTGGCCTCCTCTGTAATACAACATTTAGTCAAATCTAAAATGAAGGAACAATCTTGTGTGTTTTCATCTTATCAATCCAAGAATTGAAGGACGTTTGGGAGTTCCTAAACCCTACAAATCCATACTCTTTGCTCTTGTTCATGCTATCCAACAATGATTTTCCAGAAAGCACTGCATCAGCAAACCACCATGCTCCCACTTCATTCAATTTTGTTGGCATAAGACCCTTGTCTCTCACGATCTCATCCCACACTGGACCCTTGTCCTTCATCATCTCAACCAAGCTCAACTTCTCATCACTTTCTTGAAACCCGTAATCTTCAATACGGAACTGCTTAGCTAACACCTTCCATAAATCCTTCCATTTGAACACATCTCCATTGCTGCAATTAAACGCTTCATTTTTCGCATATCTGTTCATTGCTGCCCATATCTGATGCTCTGCTATCAAATCTGCATCTGATGCATCCCAATACCCATCCCAAGCTTGACGACTCCCTGGAAATCTCAATGGCTTGCCTTCGTGCTTACATATAGCTGCATAAATGCATAAAGTACCAACTATATTCATCAAACTAAATGGCGAAAATCCAAAAATCAATCCAGGCCTATGAACTGACCATGTCAATCCATCCTTCTTCCTCACCTCTTCAAACAAAACATCCTCAAGTGTATAGCAAAAGTTCAACAATTTAAGTCTCGGAAGATCCTCACGGAAAGGGGGATCATGGGGCTGAACCTTGCCATACGAATCAAAAGGACCAGTGTAATGTCCACGTCCAGTTTGCAAGCATATATGTTTCAACTTTGGTGCATTTGGGATGACAGCTTTTAACACGTTGCGTAACATAGTACCATTGATGATGCAATTTTCAGCTTCACTTGATCGCTTAGCCCATGCAACATAAAAGATGTGAGTGACATCATTGAGTTTTGATAGTTTATCTTGTGTTTCTTCTTCATTTGAGATGTTGCATTGTATGTAATCAATAGGTAGGTGGTTAGTCCAGGCAGGGCGGGGGCGACGAGCTACTCCGTAGACCTTCCATGGTCCGCCTGGAGTATCAGACAAGGAAAGGATCTCAGCGAGGCTGACGCCAACGATGCCTGTCACGCCAATGACGATGGCAACACTCTTGTACTTCGATGGTTTATCCTGCTCTTCCAATTTTTTCTGTAGAATTTGACCATAAAACTTGGTTTATTGGAACAAAGAAACAATTAAAGAGAGAAAATACGCATATTGTCAACAAATTTGATAAAGCGTATTGGTTGAACTTACCTTGGCAGCACCTATGGCTCCCGCCCACCACCAACTCATTTGTTTTAATCTGATTGCTGATATGAAAGAATGCTCAATTTGCTATCTCAAATTCTATTCCAACTTCATTTTCTTTCTATTCCTCCTTTTATAGCCATCCTCATTGTCAAGTGACGTGTGTATTTTTATATACAAAAGTCAAATACTTTGTACAAATCACTCAGCCTTATCCACTTATAAATTAGGTAGGCAACTAGAATTCAACCCGTATTTGTTATCAATTTGATTTTTTAGATATGTTTGGCTAATCCAATCCACCTGTTACATTGTTGTTAATACATGTTGAATATACCTACTTATCCACCCCCCCAAAAAAAAAATGTTCCTTTTAGCAGATTTTCAAGGGCATGTACAATTATCAATACTATGTTTATAAAAACTTTTGAATTATAGTTACCCTTTTCTTTTTCTTCCCTCTAAAATAATCAGTTTAAGACTACATTTTCGTATAAAACGTATAACCTTTGTGCTTGCATTGTTTAATTGAGGGGAAAATTTTTTGGGAAATTGAGGAATGCAGACGCAGAATTGGTCTAATTTTTTTCTGGCTTACTCTTAAAAATTGGCCAGCTTGTAAACACCTCAGCCACATATCATGCTGGCGTGGAAGGTCCACCCGCCAGAGAACGTCCTTATCTGTTAAATAGAAATTGAACTTTCTATGGAAAGTAGGATTCAAGTCAAGGTTGGGATGTAATGATAATTATCAAATTTTTATATCTTTCCAAAGCATATTTGCGTTTTAACAATAACCCATTTATTCAAATCCTTGAACTAAAGGTGATAATAATTTAAATCAAATCAAATTTAAATTTATTTTTTTGAATAATGTATTATATTATAAATTTTAAAAATTTAATTTAAATCGATTTTTTTATTATTAATCTAAACCAAATCAAATTCTACACATTTAATACGATTCATCAATTTTTAAATTTATATATATATATATTATTTTAATAAAAATTTTAATATATTTAAATAAATTTATGTATATAATAATTATTTTAATTTAATAAAAAATTTTAAAAATAAATAAACTATTAAAAATATATAAATCAATTCAATTTTTTTTTAATTTTTTATATCTCGATTTAAAATTTAAATCAAATTTAATATATACATTTAATATCTGAACCCAATAAAAAAATTAATTCTGAATTTTACATCAATTTTCAGTTTTCTCGAAATTTTTTCGGTGGTCTAGAATCCCGAATGGTGTTGTTGGTTGATACAAATCCTGATGCCATTTCATACACTAGAGTTTAAACACTCCAGATAACAAAGGGCAACGAACACAATGGCTTGGATTATCTCTCTGACAACACAAGGCTTCTTGAATCAAAATCAAACCTGCTCATATACATTTAATACCCCAAAGTTTTAATATCAAATTAAGTTCGAGAAATCATCCAAAAAGAAAATCTAATTTGCAAAGATATAATATTCGTATAAGTATCAATTAATTACATTAATATTTTAGCTGCACGTAGTGATTTGTATTGGGTTAGACCAATTCAAAAAAATTAATTAATTATAATATTGAACTCGAGCTCAAATTCGAATCAAATTTTAAAATTCGAAACTCGATTCAAATTTGATCGATTTTTATTTTGAATTTTTTTTTTTTTACTCAAGCTTGATTCAAAATAAAAATTAAACTATTAAAATTTGCTCAATTAAATTCGATTAATATGTAAAAATAAATTTAATTTTTATATTTAATAAAATTTTGATTATTTACTTTTGAACAAGAAATTGAGATATTTTATTAATTAAAAAATTAAAAAAATTTAAAATATAAAAACTTAATTAAACTCGTAAATTATTCGAATCAAGTATAAAAATGCTTGAACTCGACTCGATCGATAAATCAAGTTACACAAATCCGAGCTCGACTCAATAACAATCTAATCAAATTCAAATTTTATTCAAGTCAAACCTGAATAACTTACAAGTACTAATGTATTATTTACATCCTTAATGCATTCCTTGAAAATTTTCAGTTCCCCTCTTTCCCCATTTCTTTCTCCATTGCTCTTTCTTGTCTCATCGGCTGCACGATACAAAGTTCCCCACCAGCTGCAAGTGTTAGCTCATCACAGCTCTAGGCATTGACAATGCTAAAGATCACATACTGGCCTCAAAGGAAAAACACAGAATCATGTACAACAAATTTCTGCTCTCTCCATGCTCGAATGGCAAACAGTGATAACCCAATACAGATTCTTTTTTAATGCAAGACAATCTTCTATGACCATTTTTCCACAATACGCTCTGATAATCTAATTTCCTCATCCTTGGAAATATGCGGATCTAGCTTCTGAAGGCTGTTAATAAACGTCCTCGCGTCATCCTGACGATTGAGTTTACAATATCCATCTACTATGGAATTGTACGTATTTTGGTTTGGTTTACAGCCATGCTTAATCATGTAACGAACCACATCAATAGCCTCCTCAAACATTGAATCAGCTGCATAACTTGCAACAAATGTATTGTAAGTGATGACATCTGGAACGAGGCCAGAATCGCCCATTTCTGAAAAGATTCGTGAAGCCTTTTTCATTCGACCATTTCTACAATAGGCATAAATAACAGTGTTATACGAAATTATATCAGGTTTTACTCCTTTTGCCAAAACTTCCCTCAAAATTTTTTCTGATTCCTCAAAATTCTCAGATCGGCTATACATATACATCAAACTATTGTAAGTTGCCAAGCTCGGAGTATATCCACTCTCATTCATGAAGTTCAATATCTCATTTGTCTTGGAAGCCATCTGCCTCCTGCCATATATTGCGACCATGGCATTTAGAGTAGTTATGCCAGGTGAAAATCCGTTCTTCCTCAACTCCAAGAAAGCACGCTCAGTTTCCTCAAGAAGGTCACATTTACTACTAACCAAAACAAGTGTATTTAAGAGCACAGCATGAGGTTCAATGATACCAGAGTATATCTCTTCTGCAAGGGCATGCATCCGATCTATCTGCTTCCCATTGGCATAAACATGAAGCAAAGAACAGTAAGTTAGCTCATTGGGTTTACACCGACGATCTTTCATTTCAGCCAGTATTTTCTCAGACTGTTTCCAAAGCCCTCCCCGTGCCAATGCTGCCAAAACAGCATTATATGTAGAAAGGTCTGGGGTAACTCCAGCTTCCAGCATTCTCTTATAAACAGTCATGGCTTGATCAAAAGAACCACATCGACTGTATGCACTAATTAAGGTGTTGAAAGTGTATCTTTCAGGTACAAACCCTGCCCTCTTCATCTCCTTGAATACTCCTGACACTTCTGAACCCATCCCATTTTGCCCAAAAACTGACAATAGTGTATTCCAGGTAACAATATCTGGTGCACCATTACATGCCTTGATCTCATCAAAAACCTTCACCATCTCAGTAAACTTTCCGCGGTTACCATACATCTTAATTAGAGCATTGAGGGTACAAATATTTGGCTTGCAACCAGCACTTCTCATCTCCTCAAAAACCCCCATTGCAGACTCATCTTTCCCGGCCTTCTCAAATCCTGACAAAAGAGTGGTATAGGTAATAACATTAGGCTTAATCCCTTTTCCCTCCATCTGTGTTTTCAAGTCCATTGCTTCCTCCAATAGACCATCCCTAGCATAAGCAGAAATCAACGAATTATAAGTCACAATGCTAGGGGCAAACCCATTAAGCTCCATCTCTTTTAAAACCTCCATGGCTTCCTTAGGACGCCGACACTTTCCATAAACATCCAACAGTGCATTATAAGTAACATTATCTGGACTAAAGCCAGCCATTTTCATTTTATCAAAAACCAAAGCCGCTTCCTCATGCAAAGACCCTCTACGACAGCAGCTTATAAGTGTATTATAAGTATAAGCATCTGGGGCAACTCCATCACTCTTCATCCCATCAACAAGAGCCATGACCTTACTCCAAGGCATGCCCATTTTACCATACACATTCAAAATCACATTATAAGTTACCAAAGTAGGTTTGCAACCCTCTTCCTCCATTTTCTTAAAAACCACCACGGCTTCCCTATGCCTCCCACTACCCGCATACGCAGATATCAAAGAAGTATAAGCATAAACATCAAGACTAAAGCCTTCTTTGTGCAAGCTATTAAACAGATTGGCTGCAACAGAAACCCTCCTTTCTTTTCCTAGCATACTAATAACAACAGCAACAACAGAACTACTCAGAACTAATTCACAGTCTTTTCTACCCTTAACCCAATTAAAAACACCCAAAGCCAAGTCAGATTTCTTGTAAAAACCCAAACCTTTAACAATTCCCAGCACTTCAGCAGTCAAAAAATCAATTTTTGCATCTGGGTTTTCTTGGTATTGCTCAAATAACTTAGCCAAAACACTGTCAAGTTGATTGGAATCAAAAGAAGGGTCAATTAAGGAGTTAAGAACCTGCTGACCTTGAGTAGAAAGGCCTTTATGAGTCCAAGGCTTTCCACGGTTGGGGTCACGTGAGCGACCGAGACGGGTCCGGACTTGTGGATCGATGGGTTGTTGGGTCTTGGCGTTATGTCGAAGGAGGAGGTCTTGAAGGATTGGAGTTGAGGGAGACGGTGAATTGGGCAGTGAAGTTGGGTTTTGTTGTTGATGGTGAGTTTGGTTTAAAAATCGGGGTTTTGAAGGTGGAGGATTTGGAAGGAGAATAGGAAGAGCTAGTCTCTGTGCCATTTAGAGAGATTATAAGAAAGTTGCAGCGCTTCTATTTGTGGTTGAGAAAGTCGACCGGATAGTTGAGAGAGAGAGCGAGGGAAGATACTTGCACAGTCAAACCTTTTTCCTTTTTTGGGTTGAAGTAGAGGGTAAACCTGGGCCTAAGGGGACAAACCAAAGAAATGGGGAAGATATTTTAGGAGGGAAAGGAAGATTAGATTCTTCTGTGGTGAAGAACAGACTATTGAGATCCTATAACCAATAAAAACTTGCCACGTCAGCTTTGAATCCTCGAATCAAAATGGACGCCCTTAACCGTTACCTTTTGAGAAATTTGAGTTAATCGTGTTCTAAGCTTCCACCCAGTTATGTTGAATAGTATTTCTTACTTTGTTTTTGGTTGCCATTGATTATCTTGTGTTAGCGAGTTTCAAAAAGTTGACACAATATGGCAACCAAAATCGGTAGTCCTTGCCGATCACCAATTTCCCAAAATAAAAGAAAATCTTAAAAAGAACAATATACCCTCACTCGGTGCCAAAGTTATTAAATTAATCTTTTTTAAAGTGCGAAAACCTTTTTTAAAGTGCTACTTTGGATTTGAAGCCATTTATAAAAGGCTACTGCAAAATAACATGCATAAGCTTTGAAGGCACTAAGAATATTTGCATAAAACAGTCTACATATTAGGAAATCCAGAAACAAAAAACTTAAAGGCACTCGGTGAACGCAAGTAGTAATGTTAAAACTACTGGTAATTGAAGGATGCAAAAGGCATGGTTTTCTTCAACATCTTCAAAATACGCCCCATAAACAGAGGTTGTTTCGTATTTTGCAAACTGAATCTTTCTCTCTGGGAGCATCAAAGAAAGTGAGGAGTAATCAACCCAGCAACTTCAAGAAATCCAACACGATCTTTCCCTCCAAATATCTTCTTCAGCTTCTCATCACAAATTATAATCCTCTTGTTTTCAGGGTCCTAAAGAGATGGCCAAGAAGCCAAGAAATAACCAAGTTAGTTACAGGTTAACATGTTGGTAAAATTCAGAGCACTTGGTTATTTACAGGTTACCGTGTTGGTAAGATTCAGAGCACGAGTACATATCCAATTTCCACAGCCACAAGAAAATGAACATCATACCCTGGTAGCTAAATTTCACAAGACCTTTTATTCACAACCAAAGTTACATGCATCACTCAAAAATGTTATCTAGTAGGGATCAGCTCATTACAAATCCAAATGTCTCCTCAAAGCGTACCAACATGAAACATTTCTTGAGTAGGAATAGATATTTGAGCCATCAGCTTCCTACAAAGGCTTCTTGGTAGCAGTCCGAACTCAGATCCACATAAAAAAATTGCATAACTTTAATAGGTCATTATGATGAATACCCCAAATGCAGGCAACAGCATTAACTCTTATCAATGTATTTGTTTTCAAGGCTTCAAAGCTTCTTTTTTATCCAAGAGGACTAACAGTAAGTCCTTCGCCAACATAACAAATTACAACTATCCCAAACATACAGTGGCACTAACTATTAATAATACTCTTAAAACGAAAGAAACCTAGTCAAGATAAGTCATAACAACGAAGCCTACATTGCATTGTAATCAAAGAAATAGCACATAATTATGTTCATCAACTTCAAATACAGAAACTCATCTACAAAACCCAGAGTTCCAAATTCCTAAATGTCTAAGGCAGATATATGAAAACATCCAAATGAAAGGAAGAACCCAATAGAACCACTCTAAGTCCATCACAATATATGTATAGAACAGAGTAGAGCATCAACCAACAAGGCAGTTTCATGAATAGCAATATTTTATCCAAAAGACAAAAACCCAAATAAAAGAAATGTGAAAGCCATATATTTATCAATCGAAATTTATCTATTCACCAAGAGAGCCAAGATATACATTCACAATAACAAGAAATAGAGATAAAAATAAAACCCATAATTCACAATAACCAAACACAGAAACGCATTTTAGGATAATGGATATAACATATTTTAAAGGGGATAAAAGAAAAAAAAAAGAAAGAGATAATGGACCTGAAGACTGTGCTCTTTAATGTAAGCCCAAATCAGCTTAAGAGCTTCAGTTCGGGCAATTTCGGGGACTCCGACGAGAGCCTGCATCTCAGGCGACACACGGCGCGGCTTCATGATTCCACGTAGCGGTCGGGGACCAGTGGCGGGCTGTGAAGCCATGGCCAGAGTCATGGTTCGTACCATGCGCACGTTAGTTGGAAGAAGGAGACGCATAGAAGAAGACGAAGAAGACGAAGAAGACGAGGATTTGGCTGAGAACGGCGCCGTTTGAGGCGAGATAAAAGTGGAGAAAATGGCCGAAGAGGCTGCCATTTTTCTTTCCTTTATGTTTGTTCGGGGTAAGAGGCTGAAGGAAGGAAGCAGGGTTTTGGGTTATCCCCTTGTTTTTGGATTTTGGGTTTGTTTTTCGAAGAAGAAGAGATAGGGTCTTTGTTTTATTATTCCTTTTATTTATATTTTTTAGCACCATTTTAAATTTTTATAAGAAGGAAACTACGATTTTTTATCAGATACGAAATTAACTATGGACTCCATATGGACCAGCCCATTTCCCTTCTAACTATGATCCAATTGGACCGAGAAACCCAAAACAAATAGGAATTGGGTAAATTTTCTGAATAAGAAAAAGGCTTATTATTATGAACCCGAATGTAATCTTCTAAGGAGCAATTCAAACTCCCAAAACCATACAAATCTCAAAACTAGTTACTATTTATTTTAAATAATTGAGATTACAAAATTTTAAATCATAATCATTGAAGTTAAGAATATAATCTAACATTTTATTAATAAATCACACAATTATTGATAATATTTTATTTTTAAAAAAATAATAATGTTCTATAACTTTATTATCGTGACTATTAATAATCTTTTTTATAATAACTATTTTTTTTTTTAATTTAACTTGTTCTTGTGGGAAGCATAATCAAAATAAATTTAAATTTTTAATGTAAATTTTTACAATTAATCACACGTATAAGAGAAAAAAATTCAATATATGTCCAAATTCTCATAATCTCGTATTATATATATATATATATATATATATATATATATTACTCAACAAACGTACAAATAAAACCTAAAAACTGAAAGTAAATTATTTGTAAATTATGATTAGATTAAACTACACATATTATTATATAAAACTGAAAAGAAAAGTGATAAAAATAAACTTTAAGGATGAAGATATACTTCCAATGCCACGTTACATGTGAATAGTGATGTAAATAATATATTAATATTGATAAATTTTTTAGTATGGTTTAAATAAAATTTAATTCAGTTTGATTATTATTAAATCGAGTTTAAGTTCGAATGATTTGATTTATCGAGTGAATTAAAATTGAACATTTTAATGTCTTGTTTGAATACTTTATAAGTTTAATCAAATTTTTAATTTTTAATATATTTTATTATTTTAATTAAAATTTTATTATTTTACCCTTGTATATCAATTTGAGCTAAAGTTTAAGTTCGAATATATAATCAAACTTGAAATCAAATGTGAAAATTTAGTTATTTTTTTATTAAATGAATTTAATTGAATAAATTTAAGTAATTCAATTTTTATTTTGAATCAAATTTGAATTTAAAAATTAAAACTTGATCGAATTCGAACTTAATTTAAAATAACGAGTTTTAAGTTGAATTTGAGTTTTTCATTACATCAACTCGACTCGATTTTATTAGATCCCTACACATGAGTAATCGATAATTTGATGACATTTAGGCTCTACCACTCTAGGCAAACATGCAAAGTAAAACAGTGTTTGGTGAGGACAAACCAAATCCTAAATCAATAGCCAAATAAAAATGAAATACCATGTGCTTGTGCTAGAATTGGAAAAGTTCAAAAGTCAACCCCTTTTCCTACTAACGAAAAAAAGGTTTTTAGTTAGAAAATACTAGGAATGATCACAACCAAGACAGGTCAATTGAAGTGAAAAGCCAAACGCAGCCTCTCCATCGCCGCTTGTAGAGAAACAAAGAGATGGAATGGTACAAGCACAAATTTCAGTCTCAACCTTCTCATTTCATGGCTTTGTTTTTTTCTCTTTTTTTAATTGTCACTAACCTTAATTGGTACGATATTTAATTAAGAGACGTCCCAGATCTGAGTTGAGGTTGTTACGATTAATTGACATCAGTAGTTTTGATTAAGCCACATGCTTTTGCAGTTGGAAAAAAATGGCATAAAAGTCAGGTTCAATTCATGAGGGAAAGAGGAGGTCAATTTATATCTCCTTTCTGGAAAGAAATGTATGGGCCAACAGGAGGTGGTTAATCAGTTACATCACATCTGACTTGGAATAATGATTGTTAAACCGACGGGAACCTCCCGATCCCCACCTCTATCCCTTCTATTCTAAGCTGCCTATGGACCACTTTAATTTTGCACTTTTTTTTTTCTTCTTTTCCCTTTGCACCATTTCTCATGCTGAATTGCTCAGCTCCTACAATTTCATAAACATAAATTTTAAGTGTTGTTTGTTTCTCTAGTAAATGAAAATAAAGCTAAGCAGAGATAAGAGCATCCAAAGTAAGATGGAAGGGCCCTTGTTAAATCAATCATGACGGGAATATCATTGTATGTTTAACTTATCTAAAAAAAAAATCGAAATTTCGAAAATAATATTTTTAAATGCATTTCAATACTCAAATCAATTATATACGAAAAAATATATATAAAATTAAAAAAAAAAAGCAAAAAGAGAATGTGCATAGAAAAAATCTACATTAATGATCAAACATATTTTTCATCTCATATTTCAACAATAACCCACGATTATTTATCTTCGAACTTTTAATTTAGTGATTAAAATTATTTAAAGAAATATTAAAATTTTGATTTTGAATAATTTTTTTTATTTATATTAGAGCTTTGTTCTTCTATGTAATAAAAAAATATATACATGATCACCAGATCAGAATTAACAAAGATCAAAATCCAATTGATGATCATGCGATGCAGTGGCTAAAATTGCAAAACAGCCAAATGTTTGAATCTTAAAGCAACGCCTCTTCTCTTCTCTCATACGTTTTATCTTTTTTGTGCAATAGGCCACCAATTCCAAAGGGACACGTGAAACCAAGTTAATCATTTCTGTTAGAGACGAGGACCCTCCCAAAAATTAAGGCTTTTCTTGATTACAACAATTTTAGTTGGAAGTACTCCAGTTTAGTTTCATTGTCAACATTTCGTTTGTCTTTCTCCTGTAGTAGTTCTTTTGACATTGGATTTCCTTATGTTTTTCAAAATTTGACACTTGTATGTGTTTGATGGATCAATTTAAACATGAAAATTGACATTTCACCATTTAATCTTTTATTTATTTATATTAATGGAGATGGAGGAAGCAAATAAGAAATGGCAAGTACGTACTTACTTTTAATTTTAGATTATTGTCAATTTTGTTATTATATTATAGGTTAATGTTGAATTTTGACGTTGCATTTCAATTTTATTTAATTTTAATGTCATATATTTAACTTTTTTAACAAAAAACAAAAGAATTGGCCAAAAATTATAACTTGCATTAAATATTGCAATTACATTATTTTTTATCAAAAAATTAAATTAAAAATATAATAACAAAATTCAATAAAATTCGAGTACAATGATACAATTTAATATTAAGTCATATTATAGTGACAAATTAAATGTAATCTTGATCCCTTCTTTCAAAAATAATATTAATCCCTTTTAAAATTAATAATGTATTGCGTTCAACATTTAATTTAATAATTAATGCATAATTTCACTGCTTTAGAGTAAGAATTAAAACTTTTTATTTAAAAACCTAAGTAATTTATTAAACTTGGGTAATTCTTTAACAAAAGCTTGCAGCTAATTTTGATATTTACATGAAAACGAAATACTTGAAAAATATATAGCAATGTATATTTCGATAAAATTTATATTTGATGCATAATTATTATATAAATGTTATACATTGTTAGCAAATTATATAATAATATTTTATAAGAAAATTAATTTTAAATATATTTATTTTTTAAAATTTTCAAATAATCTTTGAAAAATATTATTATATAATTATGAAAATATATAAAATTAATACCAATTATATAGTAATATAGCCTTGACGTTGCGGAGGAACAATTTGGTGCGGCAGCAGCATCGTGGCGTGACAGTGCAGCGGGCCCTACGAATAGAGGCGGTGCAGATGCTTCAACGTACCAACCAAATCTGGATGATTTTTCCTTAACTTAATCACTTAAAGTATACATTTAACTTAGCGTACAAATTACATTTGCCAGTTCATATATAAAATGATCCAGCTCATACATAGATGGAGTCCCCCACTTATAATTATGCTACTGCACAAAAATATAAAAAATTTTCATGCAATTCATTTCTTAATTTATCCAAATTATGTTCCACATGATTTTGTGAAAATTTGTTGCCAACCCAAGATAGGTCAGTGAACTGCGCTTTTAAAGGTTTTTTACGGCATAAAGAGAAATTTTCATCACATTCTCATTTAAAAATTCAATCATAAAATAAAATTGTATAGAATAAGAATCACTCCTATTGTTAAGTTTTATAATTGAAATTTTTAAATGAAATTTCTTTTATTCTAAACTTGGAAATTATAGTAATTGTCAAATTGAGACATGCAAAGAGAAAACGATAGATTCTAGAAAACCTTAATCTTGGTTTGACAAACTATATATTAAGTAAAAATTCTAAGGCATTCTTCCTTCACATTCTGTTCCTGTAAGGACACAAACTATGCTTAAATCAGAAGCATTCCAACAAAACCAAACAAAAAAAAAACTATTGCATGATTGGAAGTCGATAAAACATTTGGAATCATGGAACTACCAAATTAAAACGATGATAACATACATTACAATTTTGATAGACAAAAGTTTTGACAAAAATGTTCATCTACAGAAAACCCTTTTTGTTTTTTTTACCAGAAGTGAGAGTAACTAACCCATCATTAACCCACTTACTCTGTTTTTTTTTTGAGAGGCAAGAGTAACTAACCCATCAATTATAATCATCAAAATGACATAATAACCAAGCCCCACATCTCCACCTCATCTGTTTGTTTTTTACCTTATCGAACCATGATACACCACGTGGCGACAATTGGACCCTGTTGGTAGCCATTGTGGCAAGTCGATTAAGATGGAAGTAGAGAATCAGCATCACATGCAAAAATGGACCCCACTGACAGACTCTAATCAGATGCCACGACACCAAAAGGTCGGTTTGGTATAGAAACCCATGGGCCCCCCACGTCGGCTCCTTCCAGGCTTCCCACGCTCTCTTCAGCCAATATTTATATAATACCATCTTGTATTCCCTCCGTTAGACTCACTCTTCGTCATCCTTTCTCTTCCTCCCTGTCTGAAAATTTTTGACGGAGTGTGTGTAGTTTAAGCTGAGAGGGTGCGCGGGACAAGGTTTACCATCGTTCCAACATGATGCTTAATAATAAAATTTTATTTCTATCAGCTTTGTTTTGCATTAGTGTAGCAGGGGTTTTAGGCCAAGCTCCTACTGCTCCTCCTACATCCACGCCGACCCCTCCAACGCCACCTGCTTCTACTCCGCCTACTCCCACCGTCACTCCACCACCGGCTTCAACTACTCCTCCTGCTTCATCACCACCTCCAGTGACAGCTTCTCCACCACCGGTTTCAACTCCTCCACCCAGCTCTCCTCCTCCAGCAACTCCCCCACCCGTTAGCTCGCCACCACCAGCTACTCCACCTCCCGCCACTCCTCCACCGGCTTCTCCACCTCCCGCCACTCCACCACCTGCTTCTCCTCCACCCGCTACTCCTCCCCCGGCAACTCCTCCTCCAGCAACCCCACCGCCAGCTCCATTGGCTTCTCCTCCAGCCACAACTCCAGCTCCCGCACCCAGCAAGAAGAAAGCTAAGTCTCCAGCGCCATCTCCCTTGACCTCGAGCCCGCCGGCTCCACCAACTGAGGCCCCTGCACCTAGCCTCGGGGCTTCTTCACCAGGCCCAGCTGGCACTGATGTGGTATATATTTTCTCTTATTCTCTCATATAGCTTTCTTTCTCTACTTATCACTTAGTACTAATCTGTGTTTATTCTAGTAGTATTTAGTTACATCCCATTCAATGCACCCAGTTAGTTAATTTCTCGAAGCTTTATTGGCGGGGGGTTTTAATTGCGTAATGTAGCAAAAATATACAGGGGTGTTCTAATTTCTAACATGAAACTAGGATGTAGACAGTTCTTGCTTGTGTGGAGCAAGATCTGGTGGGATCAAGCCCATAGTGGTATAAAGAGGTATGAAGATCTGATTGATGGGAAAATATGGAAGTCTAAGCTCTGATCTCTTACCAGCTTCAAAAGCATGTCGAAACTCGAAAGTGTGCTGGTGAATTTGTTAGATTTTCACGCTTTCTTAACTTTAAGCATCAATGCGGGACAGATCAGGTGGTTCCCAGTACATATCTGTGCCTAAGAAACTGGCAATCGGTGTTGTACAAAGCAGAAGCTACCCATTGTCGTCATGATAGGTAGCAAAAGGACTGCAAAAAGTTGTACCTGTGATTTGGGGAACACGAGGCGAATCCCAAAGAGCTTGTTTAGTCTAGGACGCTTAGGCCCATAGCTGCGCATAGGTTTTCATCGGCCTGACCTCTGAAAGTCTGACCAGAGCCTGTCCCACTATTAACCAGGTTTTTTAGGCTTTTATCTCAACTTTTACTGGATCATCCAAATTGGTTTGGCTAGTTTATACTGTATCATTTGCCTGATGCAATTACAATTTACAACGAGTGTTTCTTAGTGGAAAATACTTACTCCTGTTTGTTTCAACTTGGAATGCAGAGTGGAGTAGAGAAAATATGGTCCGTGCAAAAGATGGTAGGGAGCTTGGTGTTGGGATGGGCTCTCCTCAGTTTGATGCTTTAGACAAGTCTCTCTGTCGGAGTCTTAGCTATGTTTCGTTCCAGTGTTCATTTACTTTGGGCCTTTCCATTATTACTGGCTGTAGTCTCTGATGGGGCTTTTTACTATTCGTATTTGAGCTACATTACATCATCATATATCATTCCGTTGTATTCTTTGGGAGATTTTTTTTTTTTTTTGAGAGGAGCTTTTTGGTGTAGCAGGGGATATATATGTTGGTGACTGCCTCCTTCTCTCATGATTGATTTGTTTTTAAATAGCCTGACGTTTCATTATTTCTTACTATCTATTTACTTGTTGCATGGTCAATTTATCAAGATTGACATGATACAAAGTGGAAAAACAAACAAGTATTGATGGCTTATTTCTACTCATGGAAAGGGTGAAAGATGAAAAAGAAGGCAGAGGAAATTGATTTCTTAAGCAACTTCAAACTCATCCATTGTTCTTTATTTTAGGTAGAAAAAGTTTTCGAAATTTGAGTGGTGGTGGAGCATGTGGAAAGAAATTATTGAGAATCATCATGAATTTAGCAAGAGTGGAGTTGGTGCAGTTATGGTTAAAGCATTAGCTGCTTCATTTATGGGTTCCCTTTTACCTTGGGAGATCTGGAGTAGTTTGCCTTCGGCGTGTCTTTTAAGTTCTTCTTAAAGCTTGAACTTTATGGGAGTACTAATAATATTTCATTTTAAGTATTTAATTTAAAATTAATTATCAGTAAGTGAAAGATGTAATTTGAATATAATATTATAGTAAATTATATACTTATTAAATATGATATATAATTATTAAATATAAAATAATTTATTTTAACAGATTTTATCACACATAAAAATTTATGGAAGTAATAGTAGTATTTCTTATTAAACATCTAATTTAAAATTAATTATTTATAAGTAAAAAAATACAACTTGAATATTTATTATATATAAAATAATATCACTTTAACATTTCATTCATCTTGAAAAGTATACATAACATGGTTAGTTTCTTCCCACTGAAGAACAGTGGTACTCTGCTCTCGCCAGCCTAACATGAATGGGGGGTGGACATCGTTGGCAGTTGGCAATTGGCAATTGCCCATGGTTTAAAAAATAAATCCTGACGAATCTGACATACTGCAATGGTATAAATGACTTCTTCCCAACAGTATACCGAGCTCAAATCTTTTATCCATATATTTAACTTATGATGATTAAAATAAATATTTATCTACAAAAATAGTGTCGAAAGGCAACCCATAACCTTGAATCATAGGCCTCGGCCTATTCCTTAGTGAAGGAGGGAGATTGGGTTTACTAAGTTATGTTAAAAGGAAACAGCCCCAATCATTTGACGTGAACTAGGTCTAGCGTACACAGCCTGCTGCTGCTAGTGTTATGGATTTTGAGGCCGGGCTGAAGCCGAGTCCATATGAAATTGTAATGGAGAGCTCATGGACCTAAGGTTAGTTTGGAATGGGCTGGTTTTAGCCATTCATAGACCCAAACAGGAAATTGAGAACTTTGTAACAGGCTCATGAAGATCTTCCGATTTTGTGTCTATTTTTTCTTTTTATTTGTTGTTTTGAAGTGAAAGAAAAAGAGAATTACTCAGCCCAAAAGAAAAGCAAAAGAGAATAATCCAAATGTAAATGGGCCAAGATTCCCTTAATTGTACTTTGAATATTGTTACCAATTTTTGCAAATTTTTTCTAACTTGCATCTATTTTGGAACTTTAAAACAATTGACACACAAAATAAAAATAGTTGTTGTAATTAGTTGTTCTATCTCCTTTTTTTTTTTATATTCTAAAATTTTTTTTATATTTTAAAATTATATTTTATATTTTTTTTTACTTTTTAACATTAAAAATAAAAAATTTAATTTTATAAAAAACTTTTTAATTTTAATATTAAATATATAAAAATTAAAATTTATTTTTAAACTCTAAAAATCAATATCGTTGAAATAATCTAAAATAGAGAGAGTAATAGCTTTAAATTCTCTAACCCACTCATATGGGAAAACAACAAGATTTCCATATGCCAAGGGAGTCTCATTCAATAATATGTTAGCCAAAAAATAAAATAAAAAATAACTTCAATCAATCATGGTGTCTCCCAAAAATTATGAATCTGCCCCCAAAGCCCCTCGTATTGTCCTTTTTAATCCTGTTCTCCAATAAATCAGTAGCAGAAAATTAACTCCCCCTTTCCCCATTGATGCAATGAGTGTTGGATTGATTCTGTGAGAGAATTACATTCACTTCCATCGATAAAAAAAAAAAAATGTAATAATATTAAATAAAAATATAAGCTTGCGTACGGACACATAGAATCGATAGTGGACCGACAGAGTTATCATCCATTTTAGACTACTGAGATACTCTTTTGCTTGTGGTATGGGTAGTAGTTCAGACTTTATAGAATTATAAATGTGAAATCTATTTTTCATTGCCATTAATGTGGGTTATTTAATGTTCGTGGGACAAGCATGATGCGTTGTATTTCCTGGATAATTACATTAAGAAATACGTTATATGATTATCTAATGAAAGGTATAATAACATGAAACTTCCTTTGCCGACGGCCTTTCCGGCATAAATTTTACGGTTAAATATAAAAATAGTTCTTGTACTTTATACTTTCTATAACATTGAGACCAAAAGAAGTAATGTTCTCAATTTAGTACCTGAATTTAAGTTCTGTCACTAATTTTACCCCAAATCCTAAACTCTGTAAAAAAGTTAAATGACATGACATTGAGGACCAACTACATGTCGAGTATGTCATTGCCATGTCATACGGGACCATTGGCAAATCCTTAGTAAATAAAATATAAAAAATTTAAGCAATTAAAAAAATGTGAATTTTTAGTTTTGAGCATAAAAAAATTAAATTAAAAAAAGAAAAGGAAGGAGAAAAAAAGGAGATAGATGAGAGAGGATGGCAGGGGAAGAGAGGGGCGGCGACGCTAACCAGATCAAGGGGCGGCGAAGAGAAGGAAGGTAGAAAGGAGAAAGGAGAAAGGAGTATGTCCTAAACAAATCCATTAGGCCGATACAAATAGGTCGAACCTGTTTTGGACCGGCCAGATGCCGTCACTGACAAGTGATGCTTCCCCCTCCTTCCCTTTTCGCTTTTTTATATTTTTAATTTTTTTTAATTTTAAATTTTTAATTTTTATTTCAAAAAATGTTTAAAAATAAAATTTATATGAAATTTTGGAATTTTATATTTTTTAAATTAAAAAAATTAAAAATAAAATAATGACATATGACTTACTTTTTTTGGTTAAAATTTGTACGTCAACATTTGACTAACATTGTTAGTCAAAATTTGATGGAATTGAATTTTAAGTACTGAATTGTGAATTTTTATTCTCAAAGTACCAAAGTGACAAAAGTCATATAGTTTGGAGGCAAACGAGTATTTAACCCAAAATTTTAAATATTTGTTTTTTACCATCCTCAAAGTTTTAAATTGACATTACAAACTTTATTGCATATTAGATATCCCACATGCATTTTTGAAGTGCTCAACAATGTCAAGCAGTTTATCAACACTCCCTAAAATCCTGCTGCTACTGCTTCTTCTGGAGGATTATGAAAGAAAAAAAAATTGTAAGATAGACAAATGAGGGAATCAAAATGTCAAAGGAAATTATGAAGGTTTTTGTTTTTCCCATGTGATTTTTAATATTCAAAGAGTTGAAATATTTAGTTTACATTTTATTCTTTGAGTATCCTGGTTGATGCTTATGCCTATCCCCAGTAAAAACAAAATTCCTTTATTTTAAATCTCAAATGAATATGTTTGTTAAGACATAGCTAGACAATGGATATAGAAAATTTCTGAAATTAAAGGCCTTAAGTCAACTTACTAGAGAATTGGAATTTTTAAGTTTAATGATTATAATTTAATATCTAAAAGCTTCATGTGCAAAAATATAATAAAATCTGAACAAAATCATTCAGTCATCCTAGGAAATGAGAAGAAAGATGAGCTTGACTAAGCTGTTTAAAATTGCATTCCCCATGGTAAACCTGTATAATCCTTTGGTTTCATCAAATCTCATTGGAAACCCACTTCCCATACAGTTAAAAAGAGTTAATTAAGACACACCAACTTGTAGCCACTGGATCTAATCTCCTGCAGTGAATAACGTCAGGCTCAGAAACCCCCCCCCCCCCCCCAAAAAAAAAAAAAGCACATGTACATTTATGTATATGAACAATGTTATTTATATAGTAATGCCTATTCTAACATTCCATGCTACCAAGCAAAATTTTCCTTTCCAGGCAAGAATGTAGCTCCAAGCCAATCACAGATGATTTTACTTACTGGCTGTTGCAACTAACTTGTTGAATGGTCTACATCGATGAGTTAATTATGTTCTTATCTTAATAATGGAATAACATACAAAGAGTAAGTTTTGGTTTTAAGGAGCTGATTGCAGCTTGAAAATATACACAATTAGTTAAGAGCATGGCAAGTTTGGTGCTGCGGCCTCTTTTGGAAGAGTTGTTAATTGAAGGGGTTGGATTGGATTCCAAATTACGGTTCCTTTTTGGTTTTTGGGTCCTGCGTTGTTTTCTTTCACAGTTGCAAATGGAAAATACCAAAGAGTTTTTACCTTTTGATGAGTTGAAGATGAGTTACTGAGGTTGATCAAGTGAAAGAATTGGAATGAATAAGACAGTAAAGGTTTGTTTATCAAATTTCATAACCTCACCCACAAAGTTTAATCCAGTTACTGAAGAGTAGAATATTTTTCTTTTCTTATCAATCAGGATTCTGTCTCAGTTGAGAGTATTTTTAGAGTAAATTCTGAATATATGAGATCTATATATGTGAAGGAGTGTGACACTGAGATAGTAGAACAAAAGAGTTTTTTTTTTTTTAATAAAAATTGGAAGAAAGAGCTATATGTAAATAAAACCTAAAAAACCCCATAACATTTTATAAAAATATGGTATCTTTAACCAGGGACTTTGTAAGATAGGATTCAATCAAATAATGGTGGGCACTTAATATCTGAATCTTGAATATTTGTAAATTGGATGTGAATTGATGAAATCTCTTTTAGGGTTTTTATTGCTTTGGGTTGGTTTCTCATTTATGCACTACTTCAACTTTCCATTTCGCGTCATCTTTGAATGGAGGAAGGAGCCTAATTAAGATATTCATAAATGTATAGTTATATGAATGGGATGTTCATTTATATATATATGTATATAAAGAGAGAGGGAGAGAGAGAGAGATCTGGCTCCTGGGAAAGACAAATGGAGTAAAATAATGCAAAAGCAGTCATCAATGAGAATTTGACCTTTCAGAAACATCATCATGAGGTGTGGATCCTTCCATCCCAAGAGAAATACTTTAAACAATAAAATGAGATAAACAGCGGCTAAAGTTGGCGAAAGACTGAAAGACAATGTCTGCAAAAGCAGGTAAAAAAAAAAACTTATTAAAACAGTAGAGCGAAGGAAGCAAAGCAAAGCAGAAGAAGAGGAGGCTGAGGAAATCACATGGGGGTTTGGGTTTGGGGGGAGCTTTCACCTCGTGCCATCACACACAGGCTTTGCTTTGCTTTGAACGATGCAGCTGCAATTTGCAAATTCCATCCCCAACCTAACCCCACATTAACCTGTGCTGATGACTTTGGGTCAAACGGTCAAAGAAGGGGCTTTGCCTTAAACATATATATATATATATATATTTACTCGTCCGAATGAAATGGATATTTCAAAGTTATGGAGACCCCACCAGGAAACCTGTTAAAACCAACCACTAGGGAACATGGCCAAGGAAAAAGTTCCCAAAGGCAGGCACACAATGGTACTGAACTTTGAAAGACAACCCCGGATGCTGTCAATCACCACATAAAGGAAGTTCACAGTTCACACACATGAAGATGGGTGCATTAGAGCTAGCTATGGGGGAATATAGAAAGCTAAGACAATTGCTAGAGACCCCACCGGCATAAAGAAAATTGTAAACTAGCTGGTCATGTAGGGCTTAAAACATTAAATATTCATCAAATGGGAGAAAAAAAAACGTTAAGTGAAGGTTAATTTAATAATAATAATAATAATATTAATAATCTAGGCCATTCATAATTCAAAAAGAATGAAGGTTCAACGCTTCATTCAAAGATATGATAGTAAAACACAACTCAGAAGATAGAAGAAGGATGAAGGAATAGACGGATCTCTCTATATTCATCATGAGCATTAAACAACCGATGAACATAATATTTTTTCTTTACATTTTGCTTTCAGCAGCACCGGATAAATGCAACCATACATCTAACCAGAACTCAGGTCATTAACACATTTTGTTACAGCAGGTAAGAAAATGGTTAATTCCATCTTATTTACCAGGATTTTATCACCGTATCCAGCAAAATCTCTTTTTTTCCTCCCAAACCCAAAATCAGCTTTTAAGTCAAACAATCACACCAGGAATCACAAATCCAGAAACAGTAACATTAAAAACTAGGCTTACTGTCAAAGTCATGCTGATCAGCGGCGGTATCCTTTATACTGCCACATTATATTCATTAATCATTAAAGTTAGTGAAACTATAAAAAGGTTAATGGGACAGGTAGCCTAAAAATCAACCTCCATTAGCTCTATCCCTATCTGGAAAACTGAGCTCCAACTCCATAGTCGGATTCTGCTTTGAGAGTATAAAGATTCATACAGGTCAGTTGGAACCTGCGAATGATTATGCTCTATTTACAGATTAATAGAGGTATAAACCAAAGTCCAAAAACTGACTTCTACCTTGTAACATCTAATGGGTTAGTCAACTGCATTGGCGACCAATATGAACAATTGCCAAGATGTGGGTCTACACTTCATCAGACATCCATCCTCCAAATCATGCTGTCAGCACCGCCATCCTGTGCTTTTTCTAGGGCAGCAACCTTGGCACGATGTGCTGCTAATGCAATTGCACTTTTTCCTCTTTCATCCTGAGGGAGTTCACAGGTTTCACTCATGGTTCCAGATCTCAAATCACCTGGAGGGATAAAACAGTCAACAGAAAGGCCTGGTATGTTAAAGGCAACCTCCTCAATTGTCCATGCTTCTTCCATCTTTGTTTTAGAATGGCTCATTGCAGCTTCTCCAAACCTGAAAAGTGTAACAACAGAATGACCAGAATGCGCTATCATGATACCATCAACAGGCCGGTAATCTGCAAGAAATGAATTGATTGTCGTTTCCCAATAAACAGCATCACCACCATTAGATTGGATGCGAGTCAAATGTGAATCTTCCATGTGAACAAGAAGTCCAGTCTTCTGACTAAAGTACCCAAATAAAACATGCCTAATGATCTCTGCAGGGCCTTCACTTCTTGCCTTCAGTGTCTGAGGATCAGTACAGAGCTTGAGGATGAAGCAATCCTCACCATTAATGTTTTTCTCTCCTATGCACCTTGCATTAGCAAACATACTAGCTGTAGTTCTAGGATCAAGACCCTGAAGCAGGAATAAGAAACCCCTAAGAGAATATCAGAAAAAAGAAGAATGCTAAATGTATAACTGAACAACCAATGTTTTCAGCAGTTGAATATGCAAAGGAAACCTGAAGTGCACGACGCAAAGGTCTAACAGGCCCCTTTGCCATGTGGGCGCCAAGCCAAGGTGTGTGCCTCCACACAAGCTTTCCATTACAGCCAGCATGAACCTTGCTGCCCCCAACCGCAAGTTCAACATACCACATGTCCGGATTCATTTGCCATAGGACAAACCCACCAGACTCTGCACCTCTAGAGCCATTACGATTCTTAACAGTCCTCGTGGCAGTTTCATATTCACAAGCCACCATTTTGAGCTTTCCCATTGCATAAGCATTCCGAATGGAGTTTTGCAGCTTCTGCCCACCAGAAGCAGCTGTATACTGCTGCAATATGTACTGAGCAGAGGAAGTTTCCTGCATCATATCGCAATGAAAGGAAAAAATTTTAACAGGAAGCAATAGTAAAGTCACAGCATTTTAGCGCTAGAATACAGCAAGGAATAAAGCCTACTAATGATCAAATGAGAAACTTTACCCACATGTAGCTTTGCGCCTGCATTTGCACAAACAAAAAACTCTCAACATCCCTACAGCCATTAACACTCGGTTTCCACTCTGCAGTTCTGACTATATCTTTCTATGTCCTAAAAGTAGTAATAGCATATATTTGGAACCCAAGAAAATTATACTATGCTTCTACATGGATTTTTCCTTCAGTTTCTTGCTAACCAGGCAGTTAGAATCAACCGAGATTTATTTACGTGGATCACCCGGAGAACGGTAGAAGAAGCTTACAAATAAATACTATTTTGATTTACATCCATTAATGTAACCAAATCTACGCAAATCATAGAGTTATTCCAAAATCTGAAGTAACGAAACTCGTAAGAAACACTCAAGGAACTCCTTTTTCCACACTCAAACGATACTAGAAAAAAAAAACGTAAAATATACTATTATTGGTAAATTAAAACCCAACCAAACTCCTACTTTCTGCTAACTAATCACCAGTCAAACCATCACCAACACCACCAAAAGAAAAAAACCCAAAAGTACTGTGTTTTTTTTTTTCTTTTCTGAAGGAAATGAAGCACTACTATAAGCTAAAGAAGTAAGAGGGAAGAGAGTAAAACGATACTAACAATGGGAGTGTCTTTGATGCTCAAATGAGGCAAAGGATCAGTGGAGCTAACACGAACGGGAGCCAAAGGCGCACCCATAACACCAAGCAACAGCCTTAGATCAGACCTTTTGTAACTCATTGATGCAACCGATGGAGTCCTCGATAACTGACCTTTAACCCATTGTCCTAGCCCCAACCCAAGCCGTTTCGAATCCCCGACTTCCCCTCCGTCGGGTTCAGGACCTTCCATGAGCGGCGCTAACGCTTCCCCGACTGGCCTTATACTCCCGGATCTCGCGATCAAGGGCTCCGGTTGCGCCAAGTAAGCGCCTCCATAGTTGTTGTGGTGGTTTTTCTTTCTCCGTAACAGACTGGCCATGGGTGAACGGGCTCTTGCAGGGCTGTTTGGCCTCGAGCGGGAAGGTGAAAGCCCACGAACTACTTCTTCTTTGAGAGCTGAGAAGAAACCTTGCTTTTTCTCCATTACTGGTCGAGTTTTCCCTTTATTAAAAAAAAAAAAGTTTCCTTCGCTGATTTGGAGATGAACAAAGAAACAAAAGATAGCAAAAAAGGGTGGTATCAAGAACAAGTTTTTAGAGACTAGAAAGCGAGTGGTGAAGTTCGTTCATGGAGAAAGTGAGCACTTGAGAACAGAGTAGCAGTGGTAGAGAGCGAAACACAGTTTCCTTGCTTTCCTATAGTCATAAATTTATAATCCTATGATTTTAGAGAGAGAAAGCCAAAAATTATTAAATAAAAAACATATGAGAAAAAAGAATGTGACCTCTCTGGCAGTTTTTTTTTTTTTTTTTTTTTAATGATGTTTGCAATTTGAGATACCTTTTTAATTCTTATCCAATAACAAAAATGGATTATCCATTTTTAATTGCTCTACATATGAGACGATTTTATAAAAATCAAGAAACCCAATAATATTAATTTTATTTTCTTTTATATTTAAGATCATAAAAATTAAAATTTGATGGCTTGAAATTAAAATTTTAATATTTTATAAAAAAATCGCCCCGTTTTTTACCAATATAATTTTTTTAATTAGTACAAATATCAGTATTATGTTGAGTTAGGAAAACAAAGTCATGGAAGTTGACATAATTTTAAAATTTATCCTGATAAAATCGCTTAGAATTCAAGTAATGTCATGTCATTCATTGTCTCGCATTTGAAATTTGCTGCTCTTAGGATTCAAATTCTTTCTTTAATTAAAATACTGGTCCATGTCAGGATGACTGACTATCTACCCAAACCAAGCGAGAAAATTGGTTGCCTAAATTATTAAAAACGCAAGGGACATTGGATTAAATTATGACTAAAAGCTTAATCTTAGAATTAAAATTAAATGCATTAAATGAGAATTTAAAGCAAACATGTTATTAATCAAACACAAATTTCTTTTACGTCTATTTTTTTTTTTTGCCGTTGAATTTGACTGTAATTAACTTTTGTAAATAAATTGTAAATGTTAAATTTAAATTTAAATTTAAAATTTATTAAATATTTTTTAAAATAATTTATATAAATGAATTGAATTAAATTTTAAATTAAATTATTAAAATTTTTTTCATGCACGCCACGTCACGGCGGAATCAAACTTCGGCATGGCACTGGGTACCGGCAGCATATATTCAGCATAAAAAGAAGCCTAATCCGGTGGGAGTACACTGTCTAAACTACTCGCGCAACAATTGGCCTTTTGTCACGTGAGGGTGTTTCTGTAATTCCACGGATCGAACAATCTTTGAAGTTAGCCAATAGCAAATGTGCATGGTTAACAAGTGGCGGAGTACCAGGGAGAGTACATAAACAGACACTCGACGAGATTGTGACAAAAGCATATTCGATACGTTTATCTCTCGTGTTCAAACGGTTTTAATTACAGTGCTAAAAATCAATGTTACGAAGCCACCAACATGAATAAGTCGTTTTTATGTTCGAGAAACAAGGTCTCACCTCCGCAAGAAATCTTAGCCGTTAAAAACCCGACTTAGTACATGGTTTTAGTGATTTTAAATCAGTGAACGTTGAATCCGTAAGAATTAAATATTTTATTTGTAAAAATTAAATTCAGCTTTTTATTATCATCAGTTTTTTTTAATGAACCTCACTAACTATAGAAACTTATCTTGGTGAGGGAAAGGATTACAGTTCAAATTCGGGTTTGATATTTTCATTCCTTTGAGACAAAGGTTCGTTGGCTTATCATTTATGATTTAAAATTATTTTATTTGGTTGATAATTATTAATTATTAATTAAATTATAGTTTATTAATTAATTATTTAGATAATTATTAAAATATAATAAAAAAAGTCTAACTTAAAAAAATTTTATTTCCCTTGGCAATTGGATGAATTTTTGGTAATGGAAAATAAAGCATGTGAAAATGCTAAAAGTTGAGGGTCCCTTTGGGTTGGGGACGCGTTTTTAACTTTATTTTTCATTTTTTAGTGAATACAGTACAGCTAACAGATCCCTCCATTATTTTAGAAGAATCAAATCAAAATCAAAACCACAATTTCCCTTTTTTTTTTATTGTGAAAAAAGTCGGTCTTTGCAACTACATATATCATCATTTCTCAATCCATCAAATAATAATAATAATAATAATAATATTTTTATTGAACTGTAAAAAAAAATTTTAAACTATACTCAACGCATTTTTATTTTAAATTTATCCAATAAACTTATAATTTTTTATCATAAACCATGTTAAAAGAAAATCAAGTAAAATTGCTATATATATACAAAATTAATTTTCTTGTAACACCTCAATTAATTTTGCCACTTGTTGATATAAAAAATTTGGTATAACTGAAGTCAGTCAAAAACTTGTATGATAAACTCCAATCACATTAATTGTCCAACAATTAGGTCGATGTTAAGGTTGGAGCCAATTTTTTATGCTAAAAGGGCATAAACCTCAACAATGAATACTATGCCCTTACATATAGTATAAAAAATTATCGAAGTGTCATGCGTCTTTTTTAATCAATTATTTATTGGACAAACGGCCACTTGAATTAGATTTTTTTTTTAATTTATATATATATATGACAGTATATAAATGTTATATACAATTAATTAATTTTACAATGACATTTGATTAATAAATAAAATAAATATTAGTATATATTTAATTTTAATCACTTATTTTATTTAATATTAAAATTATTATAAATAATAATATATTAACTTGGCATCGGTTAACGAAAATTTTAAATTAAACAATCAAATCTATTATGCTTAATTACTTGGTCAATAGTCAATTTGATCAAAGTCTACTAACCATAGTTATATTTTCGGGTCATCTTGATGAGGCACACTCAGAGATCACCACATCATTTACTCTCAAGAAAATGACTCGCTTTTCATCAAAGAAAAGACTCACTCAATATTTCACTTATGTCTTACCAAGATAATTACTTTAAAGTTAATCACTTAATTTTTAATTTATTTGAAATTATTAAATATAATTCATACCTTATTTAATATCATAAATATGATTCATAACTATCTTAAATTTCATGTTTATAACCCATCAACTATCAATTGCTTTAATCATATCACTACTTATTATCTTATATATAAAGTAACGAGAAAACCCAAGAACGTAAGTCTCCATACTTCACACCAAAGTTTTTTTTTTCTCTTAAGCTTCTCACACACAAACTTCACCCTCTTTTTCTTTCCCTTCTACCTTCCTCAGTTGTCCTTATCTCAAATACATCATTGATTTAAATGTCGAAGAGCAGTCTGGAGAAATAACTCCAATACCCCTTAACTGTATTCTTTGATTCCAGGTTTAGGCTGTCTTACCTTTGGCCCTACCTCACCTCCCCTTTAAGCTAAGACATAAAAAACACCATCAACAAAATCCAAAACAAAAAACACAAAAAATCGCCGCAAAATAAAACATTAATGGCCAGTGCGGTTGGGGAAAGATACAAATAAGAAAGAAATAACATGGCACAAGCGTGCAATCGGGTGGGTGCAGATAATTAATGGTACCATACTCTTCCCACGCCCCATGCGACACTTCCCTTTAGCCGTTATCTTGGTTGTGTGGTGTGCTTGGTCGTATAAACATAGCAACTCTTGAATGTTTGTCCATTACTGTAACGTTTTTAATCTTATATTAAAAAAATATGTGAATAGATAATGATATATATATTTAAATTTAAATTTATAAAATATTATACATCTAAAATTTTATGATTTTATCTCATATATATTATTTTTTATTCATACATTCTTTCAAAATGATATTAGAGACGTTGTAATTACTTTACGACCCTTATTTGATTTTTATTCTATATGATATTGGTAAGTCAAAAGTGAGGGTTCCATTCAATATTTGATGCATTTTTTTTTTTTTTAATTTAATAAATTGAGTTCGAATTTCTCATCTTCAATATATTAAAAGAAATTCAAATGCTTTAATTCAGTACAATAATGCGGAATGGTGTCTACTGGTCAATTATAAATTTTTGGCTTTGTCCACAAAAGGAGCTGCAAGGGCATAGTCAAGATGAGGACTTGGGGGCCGGAGAGAGAAACAGTAGGACACCCCAAAATGGCATGGATGAACTTGTTGCATTTTTGCTAGTTCTTGACACTTTCAATTCATAATTTTCTCTGATTTTGCATTTTGGGATCGATTCTAAATTAATTTATATATATATATATATCCCAATATTCCAAACTAATTGAACGTCACTCAACAAACATTCGCTCATAGAAATATACAAACCAAACTAAGGGAACTAAATCTCATAATTCACATCCATATCAGATGCAGACTTAATCAATGCATTTGTACAAAAATTTTCATTATCAAAACATGACAAAACGAACATTGTCTCATAAACTCGCAATATCACCAATTAGGTTATCTAGATGAAGTACAACATTATCATAATTAATCATATCAATATAACAACATTAACATCTAACTCCTAACCACTTTCCTAAAATCCCCGCAAACCAAATCTGGTCGCCCGCGATTCAGCCACTATATTCGAGCATCGACCCAAATGAACTTTAAACGCTACCAATCAAGCACCAGCACATGAAGACAAAAATTATATGCTTATGCTTATGCTTTGTTGTAGTATATATTTTGGGTTTTTATCTACTTTTTTTTTAATAATTGAGGTGCTATCTTTTAACTCAAGTCGTGATAGAAATTTGATCACTCCTAATATTATATACTATAATATATAATTAATTTGTTAATTAAACTAAAAATGTTTCTATAATAAAGGCAGACAGAACTTCATAATCCTAAATGCAAATAATGCATTAGAGAATTAATGGAATCAAATCGCCTTTTTTTCGCTAGAAGCAAACATGAAAGACAAACAAGCGGCTCGTCGTCGTATGTCGTTTCCGCATAATACATCTCATCTTTCAGCATCTCCATGATGAGATTGTGTTTTATTATGTGTTGGCTTCATCACGTGTGACCTAAATATATAATTTTCGGTTTCTAAATTATTCTCAAAGTGTTAATGTTTGTGATTTTGAGAGTCGTCGCTATGAGTCCCATCATACCATGCAAAAATATCTTAATCCGCACTCCCATTATACCAACCACCTAAGCACCTTCCATTTTCAATGTCACCATCAAAAATTTTCATCATAAATACTCAATATGTCGATTGTTTAATTTCAACCGTCATAT